TAAGGAATTTCTGTGGAATTTGGGCTGCAGAGCAGAGGGAAAATGAAGGAAGAATTCCTACATATTGCTGATAGTTACAAGAGAAAAACAATAAACAATTTAAGTAAAGCGAGTACTATACCAAGTTCATTTGCAGTAAATAATGTGCGAATAAATGTAGAAAGGGTTAAATAAATAGTACATTAAAATCATTCATTCAGTTATAATGACAGATACAAACCTTTTCTTCTGCAGTTCAATGTTGTCACAGGAAACACATACATGTGGCATAAGGAGGAATCAAATTCTGGTTTGGCAGGTTCAGGTTTCTCCCGTTTTATGTTTCTGGGATCCTGCCTGTCCTCTTCACTACACAGCTGATCTGCTTTTACCTGCTTTAACTTCTGATTTTTCAGTTCTATTGGGTGCACACATTTGGCATAATTTCCCAAATTCCTGTTTGTTGGAACCTGTAGCATTGTAACAAGAGTTTCTAGTTCACAGTTGCAATGCCAGGGATTGTCATAGAGACGTAGGTAGTTTAGACTGGGTGTATAAATAAAAATCTCCTCAGATAAAATCTTAATTTGGTTATGCTGAAGTAAGAGTGTGGTAAGTTTATCCAAACCATAAAAAGCCTCGCTCTCAATTTTTGTTATGTCATTTTGTTGTAAATCCAGACTTTTCAGCACTTTATACTTAGAAAACATATTATTCTTTAATTTACGAATTCTGTTTCTTGCTAGCAGCATGTGTTTTATATCCTCTGGCCAATCAGGTGCCACAAAAACCAATTTTCTTTCCTGACAGTCTAAGTATTTCTCATGAAGATAAGTGTAAATATCACATGTTAGGTCTCGGGCATTGCGCTTAACAGTGCTAGATGATCTCCTTAAGATGTTTTCCCTTTCATTGTTTCTCAGACTCCTATTCCTTGTCCTCCTACAGTCAGATGCATTACAAAGAAGAAGTAGTAATATAACAGTAACTACTTGCATCCTGACATTCAGCTGGCCCCAGTTCTTTTCTGTGACAGCTGGAACACTTGAATTTTTTGGATATTCTGAATCAGTGTCGTACAGATCTGAGGTGGCAAAGCTGGGGTATGTGGGATCCCTGTGGAAGAAAAGTAAAACATTAGAACAGATGGAATGGGCATTTCCATGGAGGATTGTATATAATATGCAGTCAGGTACTCGATCATCACACTACTTGGAACTTCACAAATACTTTGAAGGTTTAATATCCTATCTCTTTTTGTTTGTTTGTTAGTTTTTACTGACTCTGGTTTACTGTTTTTCATTATGATTAATCATGGGAAACTATATGGACCAATTTCTCACTGATCTTTGTTAGGAGATACTCATGTGTTCAGGAAAACAGCATCAGGGTGGACCTTTTTGTATTTAAGTTAATCTTGGAAGATGAGCTCAAATGAGGAGTTTGAAGCTGGTCTTTTCTGACTTCCTTAGTGCTGAACAACTGGAACATGTACAGAGCCAGACCAGGGAAAGCCATCCAGTGCCCATCAGACTGCCAGTTTTAGTTTGTGCTCAAGGGTGGGCTTGTTTTCAAGTAATTTTCTTAGGAATATTTACCCCAATTTTTGGGGTTTTGTGCTTTCATCTCATAGTTTTTTGTCTTGGTTGGGTTTGTTGGTTTTTCTTTTTTTTTTTTTTTTTTTTTGATTGTTTGGTTTCTTTGGTTTTTTGTTTTGTTCTTAATTTTGTTTTGGGTTTGGAGTTTGTTGTTTCATTTTGGGTATTTTAGGTGAATTAAAAAATTTGCAAGACTTAAATATCTGTGAATGCCAGGGATTAAATATAAGAACTACAAATTCTTTCTACAAACTCTAATTTATACCAAGAAGAAAGATTTTTTTTCAGTTGCTGTGGCTATTTGGGTTACAAATCTTCCTGATAAAAAGTAGAGACTTGTGTTCTTAAGTACTTTGAAAATGGAGTTTAGTAGGATTCAGAGATAATCTGTGAAGTTCTCATTGGTTTTCTACACTACCAGGGCAAAATTATATATTCAGTTAATTCAATTAATTTCAATAGACAGGCTTTAAAACTTCACCAGTCTGGGAGGAGGGTTTTGTTGTTATTATAAGATTGGAGTTGTCAACAACAATATGTTTTAATCCTATATTGTTTACAACTTCCTTTATTCCTTCAGTAGCCACTTGGGCTCTAAAAATGTCTCACTAAATTCCTTGATATTTTTAAGAGCTTTCATTTGAAAGGTGTCTATGAATGCAATCACCATTGTGTAATTGTCCATTTTTTTCTCAGCTTCACATTTTTAATTTTGTCTTGCTTCCATTAATTTTCTTTAATGTTTTTTTCATTGCTCTTCCATGATGAAAAAACAAAGTTTGACTTTGCTTTAATTAATAATTTTTTAGAAAAGGCAATGTTATAGGCAAATTTTTCTTATAATAAATCAGTCTAAGAATAACATAAATATTTTGTTCAGAAATTATTTTTCTTGATATATTAATGCATTTATAGGCTATTTCTAGTGTTAAGTAGATATTTAAAAAATTAAAATAAATAACTAAATAAATACAATAAAAATAAATAAACTAAAATAAATAAATAAATAAGAAATTATCATTTGTAGTCACTTTTTAGTGAAGTGTATATCCAGTGGTCTAGCCCAGAAACACCAGTATTTATGCAAGCTTTTGAAAATTACCATAGGTAAAATATAATTTAAGAATGTCAAACAAATATGGTTTAGGATAGTCAAGTTAGTGATGCAAGGGCTGCTTTTCTCCCCTTATCAATAGACCTAGTAATTTCATAACAGAAAACAATCAAATTAGTGAGGAATGCTTTGCGCTTGATAGACTCATGCTGGCTGTTCACTGTCACTTTTTCATCCTTCGTGTGCTTGGACAGGGCTTCACGGAGGATTTGCTACATAACCTTCCCAGTGGAAGCTGACTGTGGAGCTCAAGTGGAGCTGACTGGCCGGTAGATTCTTGGACCTTCTTCCATTTCCTGAAAATGGAAGTGACATTTCCTATCTTCCAGTCATTAGGAATCTCCTCTGACTGTCATGACCTTTCAAAAATGAGCGAGGCCTCTCAATGACAAGAGACAGCTTTCTTCCTCTTGGATGCACCCTGTCTTATCCCATTTCCTCAGGTGCTCCCTGACATTAGCTTCTTCTACGATGGGTATTGCTTCACTCTCACAGACTCTGCTCACGGGCTCCAGCCAGACACCTGGGAAGCCTTCAGACAGGCCTTAGCTGTAAAAACCAAGGCTAAAAAGTAATGGAGTAGCTTGTCCTTGAAGATTAACCAGTTCTCCTGGGTCCCTTTGCCCTCCAGGGCTGTCTACTGTGCGATCCTGTTAAACAGATCCCTAAACTAGCCAAAATCTGCTAACAACTTCAGTGTTTTTTCTTCTACAGTTTGTCCAATTTTCTTCTGTCTGGATTTTGAACTTCTCATTTTTTCATTTCCATGGCTGCAGTAGCTAAAGCCATTCAAGTTCATTCAAGCTGACATTCAGTCAAGCTCACATTCCTTCACCTGTTGAAGAACACATTCCCTAGACCACTTGTCAGCCATCTGGATCAAGAAATTGTCTTCAACATACTCTAGAAGTCTCCTGGATAGTTCATGCCCAGCTGTATTTTCTGGCAGCATATAGCAGTGGCTAAAGTCTCTCATGAGTAACTAGGATAGACAAGAGTAAAGCTTCCTTCAGCTGCCCAAAGGTTTCATCCACCATCTCATCTTGATCAAGCAGATCAAGCAGTCTGCAGCAGATCCCTACCACAATATAATGCTCATAGTTCTGGCTTCTAATCATTACAAATAAGTTCATAGTTGACTTGTCACCCATTTCAATGCAAAGCTCAGACTTGATTTTGCATAGAGTGCAGCCCATCCTCAGCTTTCTGGGCTGTCATTCCTAAATATTCTGGAACCTTTCATTGCACTCCTTCAATTGCATGTGCTATCTCTGTGCATCTCTGGAGTCCCAGTGAAATCACAGCTCTGTACCTGTGCATGGACTTCAGTCCCTGCTGGTTGATTCCCAGGCTAAAAGTGTTTGTGTTCAGACACTTAAAATAGACCCCTTTGTGCTGCTTTTGCGTGGAAGGTTTCAGAGTTTTTCCTCATCACTCTTCCCCCCAACTTTCTCACCACTCCCTGTGCCTTCACTCCTTTCCAGGTTGTGGTTATCTTCCATCTACATACCTATTTTTACTGATATATTTCCTCTCTCAAATCCTGTGTTGCAGGGATAGATTTCAAAAGCACAAACTTTCCTCTTTAAGATTGGCTGGTATTGAATTTCCGGTTATCTGGATGGTCCTTTTGCCTGATAACTGAAATAGGGAAAAGGTGATCACAACATGGAAAAAGACACAGGCTCAACTATTACATTTTCATGTACAAGTACTCATTTTTTGCCTTTGCATTAAATTGACATTTATTGTGAAATATTTATCATACTAGGAGATTTGTTCCCATTATATAAGAATGGAACAATATGAGTAGTACCTGTTCTGCAGGCCAATAAAATATGGAAGCCTTATAATTACTCAAGTTTAATGTTCCACCTAGAAGGTAGAACTAAACAGGAAGCATTGTGTAAATTATATTCTATTACATTATATTACTGGTTAGAGAAATATACCAGAGTTCATGGAGAAAATTCACCAATGGTTTTAGATACCAGGACTGGCTAACAGTAATCTTGGTTTAGCAAAATCTGTTAACATGTGCTAACCTTCAATCAAGTGAGAAGTCTCTTGTGCTCTGTAGGACTGTAGAGTGTAGGTATCCTTTAAAATTATAAAATGACCATACTTCAAGTTAGGAACAGTAGCACCACATCTCTCAGTATTCTATTTTGAGGTTTCCAAAGAAAATGGCTGAGATGTACAAAAATTATTGTGATGATTTAAAGATACTCAGATTTTTCCCTTATACATATACGTACAAATGTATAATATACTTCTGGGTATTTTTTTTATTATTCAGCCAGTTTAAGTCTATTTAAATCTGTTGTATAGAGATAGTACTAATTGAACTCTAAGACTATTGACAAGGTAAATTAAAAATAAATATGAAACTGTGTTTGTTTTAATTTTGCAGGAAATTTAGAGGCATGTGTAATAGAAATACTCTTTTTTGAGTTATTTGCAGGATTCTGTCTGCTATACAAAATGAAATAAATGCCCCACAGATTTCATTTATATAGCAGTTCTTGTATCTTTTTAGCACATCTAAACATATATGCTAGATTCTCTTATGTATTGCACAGTTTCACAAAACTTTTGAGAAAACATGCTATCCAAAAATTTCATGTGCATGTCCAGTTCCTCACGATGATGTAAGAAGTTTGGAAGTTAGATATGTTGTTAAAAGTTGATCCTCAAGAGAGGATTGTGGGTAGGTGCACTGTGTGAGCCAAGGCCTTGTGTGACAACTGAAAAAGAAAGAGTAATTCCTAACTGATATTTGGAAGCGTAGTGAGCTGAAGGCAGAGGAATTAACAGTCTGTAAAAAGTCTGCCTTTCCTGTTTCAGAGGTACTCTAGAGACTCAAAGTCTGCCTGGCAGGTAGAATTGCTGGATTAAAAGCTGCCATGGAAGAAATGAGGTGAGCTGTTCACAAGAGCAGCCATCACAAAGATGTATGTGGATTTGAAAAATAGCTGTACACTGTTTCTCTTTGCTGTGAGGAAAACAAATGTATGTCTTTCAACAACATCCCCATGAAGTTCAGAAACACGTTTTTCTTTGGCATTTGCATAATATATTTAAACTTTTGTTTTTCTTAGTCTGAAATGCCATATACTCACATAACTAACATTTGTTTTGGCAAAGTTTTGCATTAGTGTCTCCAATTCTACCACTCATCTCATCAGTATTACTTTTATTATAATCTGTGTTTTTGCCATGTTGGCAGATACTTTGTATTTTTAGATTTCCATATATTTATGCTGAAGTTTGGAACATAATTTTTTTGAAGTGTAAATAGCAAAGAAAAATTCTCCACTGACAACAGACCTTTTGCAGTTATCTTGTACCTTGTAATATAAAGTTTTCCAGTCACACATTTTGTTTCTGATTTAAAACCATAAGATTATACTCTTTGTATTGATAATTTTTAGACAAAAAGCAAAACTCATTGTTTCTGAGATTATGGGGATGTACAAAAAGCTACTGTCTTGTGAAGAATTTGACAGCAGACAGATTTTGTGAACATTTCACATGGCAATCCTAAAAGCATTAGCTCAGCACAGGTTCTGTGTACTGTGGTAACTAACACAAAATGCTTAGAGGTGGCAGTATTGCATTTCATAATGCTGCATGTGAAGTTTGCTGTGGTATATCAGGCATCCTTTATTGCAACAAGGAGCTAGTGAAGTGTAGGTGTCATTTTTTATTCTCTCATACTGTTCCATACAAACATTTTAGCCTCCATACTGCACAACAGAGATAGCCAGTTAAAATTTCCCTCTGAAAACTTCTGTCAGATATGGTAAACATGAACACTGTCCATCAGGAATAAATGTCAGAAGGTGAGTTTGTCAGACTGCTTTAAAGCAATGATTCTGAGACTGCAAATGCCAAAATTAATTAAAAAACTGGTATGAGAGAATTCCTGCAGAATTTAGCTGTAACACAAAACAAGGATTTTTGGTAGTCTTTGTGCTCCTTGAGTTTAATGAAGATGTCACTTTTTCTGATGAAAAAGAAGACACGTGTTAAAATTCTCAGATCATTAAAAATTGGTCATATGACCAATAAAGGAAATCAGTATCTCTTCAAAGTTTATGTGAGGTTTTGATCACATTTTTCAAAATGCAGTAAGAAAGGCTTACCTGTATCTTGAATTGTGCAGCCTTGCAGCAACATATACATTAAAAAGACTCAGAGCTACCAGAGTGTTTATCCCAGTCTCTCAATTTATTGTCTATTTTATCAGATATATTTGGAAGTATACTTCTCCAAGTTTTATTTTTCCCCACTCATTTCTGTGAGATATCACACTAAAATGCAAAATAGCTCAGCCTTCTATGAAGAAGGATACTTTTACTTTTGTACTTTATATGAATTAAAAATTTCCATTTCAAAAAAAAGGCACCACAAATAACACATGCCTTTATATTCTGATATCTGGTTCTAATGCACATTGTTGGGTTTTTTCCATGAAATATGATCTTATATTTACTTTCTTAATACTTTTGTATTTTTTTTACAAGGGCATTCTTTTTACACTTCCTCTTTGAATTTGTGTTCAGTATGTATTGAAAGCAAAAAGTCAATTCCCACTCTACACTGAAAGCATAAAGTCAACTCCAAAAGTCAGTATGCCACTCCTTAAGCAGTGAGCTCCTCAGTAGGAGTTCCCATCTTCTTCAAAATGCCCAATTTTGCTGACTTGCAGAACTGCATGACTACGACTAAATGTCTACCACAGCAGAAGGTCTAATTCTAGGTTTTGATTTTCTGTATGCTTTCATTTGTGGTACTTGTGGTAATTGTTATTTTTTCCAGTTAGAAATGTCATTCAGTCATATGAATAGTTTTCAGTATGATATAAACCTGCAGCTAGAAATTTAAGCAATTTCAGAGTATAGATTCTTGATTTTACAGGGTGCTGTTGATTAACATTTTGCACTTAGACAATTTGCTTTCTCTTAACTAATGTTTAGTATGAAGGAATGTTTTCCAAAAGAACTGATCAAACCTGAAATTACATGACTCACTTTTGTAACTCTTTCAATTTTTCAGATTCTTTTAATAGTACTCTTCTAAATAATTATACTGCTTGAGAAGTTTAAACTACACATTTCTGCTTTTAATATCTTTTGATAGAGATCTGGTTTTCATTTCCAGCAAGCACTGCTTGTAAAATCAATTGCAAAAGCAGTCCAACAAACTTACACTGAAAAGTCATACTTGCAAAGTATGCACAAAGAAGTTCCAATTAGTTTAAAAAGTATGCTTTTGCAGTTGCTTAAGATAATTTTACAATGTTACTGGTTTCACATGGTGAAATATCTTGCATGATAGTGCTATTCCCCACTAATTTGCAATACAAGAAGAGAGAAAAAACTGCAGCAGAAGAAATGGGCTTTCAAACTTCAGCAAGTAGATAATTCTATTTCATATTGAACATCTTTTCTTTACAGTAATTTTCAGAAAACTTTTAACTATGACATTTTATGTACTTTTGATTCTGTATCATGCCCTTGTAACAAATTACTATGTTGTTTTTTGTGGGTTTTTTTGCAAAGCTTCCCTAGTTTACAGTAAATGAGTTTGGCTCACTGCAGAAAATTCACAGACAAAGGTTTACCATACCTGGACTCTTGAAAAGGCTGTCACAAGATCATCTGTTTGGAAATTCCAGGTTGCATTCAGGTTTGTAGTTCACGTCTTTCTTTCATAATGTGAAGCAGAGGATCCTTTATATGACTGGCAGCATCCTGCATTCATGGTATACTGAGGTTGAGCAAGCACTGCAGCAGCCTTCCAGGGTTTTGAATTACATGACTACAGCTGTTTAAGTTTTACTGAGGAATAATAGCACTATAGGTTTGGATCACTTCCAGCAAACTGTCAGATCTATAAACAGCTAGTACTTACTGCATAATGAGAACAAGGCTTGCGTTTTGTAGCCATAAATAGACTAATTTTATGTCATGATTAGTTGGGAGTTTACATCTGAGCTTTAAAAATGCAGTTTTTACTAAGATATCAAAAAAAATAAAAGCCACCCTGTGCTGAAAAAAAAATACAAATTTACATTTGATTTCCTGAGAAGGAAGTTAATTAAAAAGTAAACTTTTGTTGCAGTTTTACATTGGTTTAATATATAAATTGAAGTCATATTTATAACTGCAATCCAAAAATAGTTCTGTTTTGGATTACTTTAGTATCCTACTAAACTTGTAAAGAAAACAAAGGTTTTAGAATGCAGTACTATTTTAGAAACTTTCAAATATATACTGAATCTTGAAACATATTCCAAAAGCAATATGAGGAATATGACTGTTTAACTTTCCATCTAACAAAACCTTTTCAGAGCAAAGGATGAGGCAGATGGGACAACAGTCTTGTTCTGATTACTCTTTACCAAGCGTCTGTTTCTTGTTCATGAGAACCGTGCTGAGATTGTTGTGCAGTGACAGGGTGAAATTTGAAATGAGGGCTGAGGTTAGAGGAAAGTTAAGAACTACCTACCTCTGAGTAACTTTTTCAAAATGCCAGTAATTGGCTCTGTTTTCCGAAAGCATCATTCCTGCTTGTTTAGAAGTGTCATCATGAGCTGTAGGGATGTGCCTCTAGAAAGCATGATCTAACAGTGCTCAGGGAGAAGTGATCATCATCAAACAGGGAAAACCACAATCCTCCCTACCAGAGGACAGTGTGTTTTCTTGCCAGTGTATTTGAGAGCCCTGAAAGAAATTCCACAGCTTTCTCCATTTTTGGATTCTGGAACAGTGCTTAATGGTTATGACCAAGTACTTAAGTGAACAGTTAAAACCAAAAAAACCATCACATTGCATCACAGTTGGATCAAGCATTTTAAAAATATTTTTTTTTCCCTCAATGGATGAATGAAACCAAAGGGAAATTTTGTAAGGCTAACATTTCAGAATTAGTTGGAAAACTGTAGAGGAGTTACAATATTGACATTGAAATGATGCTTAAAATATTCTATAGAATGTGTATTTTTAATGTTTTTTAAAATTTTTCTTTCATTTAAACATTACAGTTCTTTTTATATTAATTGTTCTATTGTCACTACTTCTGTAGGATTTGAATGGTTAATTAGAGAGCTCATCTGTAAAATGTGTGATTATGTTAAAGGTTGTGTGAGTGGCAACTTCAGGACCAAGGCATTTAACTAGCTCATTAAAGCAGGGGCAGAAAAGTGAGAATTAAGCAGACATTTTCTAGTCCATTGCTAAAAAACAAATCTATCTTTTCTTTGACTATTATGTTCATACATGGCAATAATACTGGATAAATTGTAGGCATGGGGGTTTTTGCATAAAGTCATAGTAATTAAGATTTTATCTGTATGGCACAGGCAGTAAATATTTTTGTTAATGAGCTTCAACATATTTTCCTAAAAATATAGAGATTCTCTTGTGTCTTGTTCAAAAGGTACCCTACAATACCACTGACATTCTCAGAGCCCCACCTAGAAAGCATAAGATGTTTGTTCTCCTTCTGAAGTTGAACAGTGTTGGTGGAAAATTTTCTATTAGACACAAATCTGGAAAGACCTGAGGGTATAAAGCAATTGCATGTCATGCCCAAAATGTGTTACAGCAGTCTGTCACTTGCTGTAGGTTACCACAGCTAGATAGGAGAACACAAGCCACTGGGAAAAATTAATTTGTCCCTTTTGTTTCTTGACATCTGCTGCAGGGGTATTGGAGAAGTCTACATGTAGACTTCACCAGTTTTCAACATCTGGGTTCCCTCTGCTCCTGCTTCATTGGGAGAATTCTCATTTTGGGAAATTCTGGCTTCTTCAGATGTATCAAGCAACAAAAAAGGGGCCATCACTTGGGGAGCACATCTGAGCTACATTCTTTATTTATTGAAGAAGAGGATGATTGTTTACATTTCCTAAATACAAACTTGTGTAACTGAAGAATACTATAAGTTACAAATGTTCTGTTATTTATTTTAGAAAAATGCTAATTCAGGAATATGTTAATATAAGTGCTTTTTTTTTTGGACAGTGGAAAGCGAAGAGAAAAATAATATGTGGAGTTGAGCCATCAATGTAATGTGCCAAACAGCTGAAAGGATGTCACAATTCATTTTATGATTCTTGACAAACACAGGATACAAAAAAGATAGTCCCATGTGCCCCAGGGAGTACTTCCTCAATTCTGAATGTTGATTTTCAAATGTCTATTCTCAGTGTATTGCCAATACTGGAATCACAGGAGTGTTTCTTCAAAATCCCTTCTGTGCTGCAGACAGTTCTCTGCCTTGCAGGCTGGATTCCACAAATCCAATCAGTGCTGGGAGAAAGACAGAATTGTAAAGTAGTGTACGTGTAGCAAAAAAGCCAAACCTGAACAAAAAACGTGTGTACCCCTATTCTTCAGAATAAGAAACCATAGAAAGATTAAATTAAATGAACTTTGATATTCTTATAATCATTTCATCATTTCACTGCAATTATTTTCTAAATCCATGGGGACAGATCTTTAGCTGTGGTTTGCTCCATGTTTGTTTTGTTGTACTTTCATTTCAGATCATAGTATACTATTATGCAATCAAGAAAAAAACTCAAGACAGTCATTTACATATTAGACTGAAATCTCCTACAGAAAAGAAATTGTATTCTACTTGTCTACCTAATTTTATTTACATTTATATTTTATTTTTGCATTCACTTCTGATCTGTATATGCAAGAACAATAAGACATTTAAAGAATGATTTTACTGAGTCAGGAAAAGTTTACTGCATCCTGATGCAGGAAAAGTCTGTTTTGTGGAATTTTGTAGGATCTAAGATTCAATAACCTCAGTATTCTCCTTCACAGTTGATTTTATAGATGAGGTTTAAGTGGGATTTTACTCATCTGGGGCAAAGAATACAGTATTAAACTCCATATGAATCCTAAGATTGATTCTCAGACCAAGCTGTTCACTCTTGAGGCAATCTATTAAACACTGCAATTCCAAGTGAGCTGAGAAAGCAATTGTTTTACTAAAATGTGCAAGAAATTGCACATTTCTGTACCTTCTTTTCAAGAGTTCCTGAAGTTTCACAGAGAATCCACAGGGGATATAGAAAATAAATTTAAGATTTTATTGTTCTAGAAATAAAGGAAAGAGACATACATATGACTGCAGTAAAATCTAAATGTTAATTAATTTTATTTAATCTTATCTGAATGCATATTTTATACTGGAACTTTCTCAACCTGATGCCTGAGATCCATTATCCAGTTTCAAGTAAAAAACCTTTTTTCTTTTCAAGTGAAAAAGAAATTAGAAACAATCTGTGCAGTGGTATTATTATTAACTGCTTCCCTATAATTTGGTTTGGCTTGCATGGAGGAAAGCACTAGATTTCTGCTATTTGTAGTATCAAATGTCTATGTTAAGCAAACAGTGGTTTTCCAGATAGAGATTAAAAGACTTTTAGACTGCATTTAACATTATGCAATCCTTACTGAATTCCAGAAAAAGGCATGTCAGAAAAAGCAATCTGTCAGGATTGCTGGGGTTGATCTGATTACCTGCTACCTACAATCTCTCCTTTTGAGAATGAGAATTAAAATTTATTTTAGGCATCAAAGATAAGGTAGTGCCTGGAAAATTAACTTAATATGTCTATATAGCAATTAGAGAGTGGGAGAGGTTTCCAGAGGTCATTCAGACCAGTCTTGGGATCTTTGTTGCTCTTTACTATACAGAGATCCCAGGATTCATATTTTTCTGTTGTTGTGCTGCTTGAGAGCCAACAAGAAAGAAGCCTGTTGCAGAGTTAGATAAACTCTTTCTTTAATGACTTGGTCATGCTATGTTAAAGCAATTGGTTTTTCTTGACCAGCAGAAAGTATAGATTTCCCAATGCATCCCTCAGATATTCACCATTAAGCTACTCCCTTTCATACATACTGAATATTTTGGGGTGAGGAAAAGAGACGGGATTATGTCACATTGCATATACCAATAGTGAATACCAAACTAGAACTGAGTTTCACATTCTGTCCTGAGAATTAGCACACACCTTTCCCTACTGGCATTTATCTTCTGATGATCAGTAGAAAAGAGGACTGATTGCCTTTGCCATAGTAGCCCTACACTGCACCTGGTTGTTTTGCAGTCATTTGGGGTGGGCAAATCCAATTTCTCCATGCTGATGGTGAGGCCTGCAGTACTATCTGCAGATCCTCACTGATGTGTTGCCCACATAACCACATTCCCAAAGCCACAGTGTCCTTTTGTCCAACAGACACATCTCAGCTGGATGTGGTATGAGAGCCTGGAGTGCACCAACAGGCTGTACATGCTCTGAACATCTTGTGGTTATGAGATGGTTCTTCCTTTATAATCCCTCTCTGCCAGCTCTCCTGCAGCCTCTTTTTCCTTCTTTATCTGCTTCTTAGAGTATAGCTGCTCCTGGAGAAGCCTGATCCAGGATAACATAGCTGCACCATGTCAGACCCCACCTTGAACACAGCCAGCTGTCACAGGCATGGGACTTGATGGGATTTATATCACCATGCATTACCACTAAAATGTTTCCTTCATTTATTTTGATGGTAGGGTTTTCATTCTGTCATTTTGCAGGCTGTTACAGACCCACTGTAGAAAAATAAATATGCTACACTTGTGCCGAACTCAAAACACAACAGATTATTTGCATCCACAGTGCTAAAAGTTGTGTTATGAGCCACACCATATTGTCTGTCTGTCTGTCTGTCTGTCCGTCTGTGAGATCTGCACAAACACTTTAAGTCTAAGAATGTATTTAACAGACATGAAGCTGGCATCCCTCTGCACAAGGGAAAATGTGCAAAGAGTGCCACAGTCCTCTAAGAAAAGACATTTAACATCAAAGCGTTTAAAACAATTGACAAAGAATCTGTTTTAAAAGCCACTTCAGCCTGAAAATAAAGAGCAAGCCAACCTGGGCATAAGTTAAAAGATGAGGCATTATGCCAGAAAAGACAGTCTGCCTTGATTATGGCTTGAAGTCATTTACTCCATTAAAAACCATCTCACATGCAAAAGGAACCCAAACATTAAATTTTCAGAAAGAAGAGCCAGAAATCCAAGGTGTGAATCTCCTCACTCAATGTAAGATAGAAGTAAAGCAGGCTTGATTCTAGTTTCCACTGATGAGTAGTAGTGGGGACCAGTCATGTGCTGCAAATGCTGGAGACTAGAAGTGCAAGAACTGGGAGCATGTCCTAGTGAGTTGTAACCATACTGAGGTGTGATGGGTGATCAGCTGCTGCTCAGTTTCTGGCTTGCTTTTCTGTGACCATCTCCTGTCTGCTAGTGGTGTCCACTGTCAGCCAACGTTTTTACCCTAAGCAAAGCCTGTGCCTTACACTGCTGCTCCCCCCAGGCAAGGTAGCCAAGAACCTCAGGCTCCTGCAGCAGCTGGAGAGGTGGGGCACAGCAGAAATCTCTCCCAGTCTATTTATATTACAAGATTCCTTCTTTGGATTCTTCTCTCCACAGGCCTTATTTGGTACCCAGGAGGACATGCCAGACTACTTTTTTTCTGTGGATGTTTTGCAAATGAATTCCTGAGGCTGTAGTCTGAGCTGCACAGGGTTACTGTAGAATCATATAATCATTAAGGTTGGAAAAGATCTCTAAGATCCCCCAGTTCAACCATGAACTGTTATATTACACAACTTCAAAACCCTGGAAAACAGTGAGACGTCTACATGCAAATATCAGGGGGACTACTTCATGGGGAGGAATTGTTTTCACCTGTGCTTTCTGTGGCAGCTCAAAAGAAATTGTCATTTGCACAGCATTTATATGTGAAAAGAAACACTTTGTATGCCCAAGAGTGAATGGACATCTATTGAATTTAAACAGTTAAAGAACTGCTTAAATTGTCTCCCTGGAGTGATAAAAGGAATTAAGTGAATTGACAGATCCATCAGTCCCTTTGTAATTTCATTGAATTGCACTGTTAGAGTAGGCAGAGCTGCTGTTGTCGTTCTGCATGAAGGATTTTGTAGAAGAGCTCAATATTATTGTGTCTGCAAGGACCTTTCCTTGTACTCCCTCTGAATCTAACACACATTTTACTGTGGATCTGGAAAGAAATAGCAAAGATATTTTATTACATTCAGAACTTGCTTCAAACTGAATTTCAACATCTAACGGGTGCATAAATCATAAGGTTGGGAAAACAAAGGTAGACTAATGAGACAGTAACATTCACTGCCGCTTCCATAAATGGTGTCAGCTGTAGAAAATGTTGAACTTGACTCCTGCTTGGTTAGAGGACACATTTTTTAAACAGATCCCTTAGATTATGTTCAAATTTCAGAGTAATATGTATCTGTTTTCCTTATAGTGAGATTAATGCATTTCTTGTTTTAGTGAGCATCTATGTGCCTAGGTAAAATGTTAAAGCATTGAGAAGATCTCAAGCTTTTCCTCTATTGTTTTTGTTAGGCTCACTAAGACATAAACATTTAATTTCTTGTGTAAATTTGAGCTGATGTCTTCAAAAATACTGCCAATGGCTGAAACTGGAGTCAAGATTTGCTAATCAGCAAAATGTTAACTCTTACAGACAGATGTATTTAAGTTAGAAACTGAAAAGGAACTGTACTTTATGATGTTGGAACTGAGCTATCCTCTCAAATGACTTCAAGAAGTAAGAATCAATTCAAGAGGAGAAGTTCTAAGTAAAAGATTTTTTTACAACTATTGTCTAATTAATCTTATAAATCTTGCTCACTTGCATTCATTGTCAGAAAACTTCAATTGTCTTGTCTTCTTTTTTCATTGGTATGTTTGAATTATGGGCTTCCAGTTTATAAATGAGGGCATTTCATTTCTTTCAGTGGTAAAGCAACTATAATATATGGGAACAGCATTCTGCTACTGATTTTACCCATCAAAAAAGAGCTTCCAGGCTTCTGCAAAAGTGATTGTTCACTATATCACTGTCTCTGGTGTCTGCCATACTTCATGTCTCCAGGTACTTGCTTCTTTTCCTTGTGATCCCAAACATAATAACCATATGGAGAATTTCAATGGTTTATGTGCCCCTCACTCTCTGGAAGCTACTGTTACATGGATTATAACTATTTGTTTGAAATTGTAACTTTTTAGTATTACATGGAGAATATTTGTTGATCTTTTTTTCTACATGACAACATAAGCATATGAATGGTTTATTTCACCTTTTTTCTTCAAAGGCTGTTGTTGAAAAATGTCAACAGGTAATGTCTGTTATCTTTCTTGACTCTCCAAAACTTTCTCACACAACTTTTAAAGCCCTTGCAGAATGTAGACTTTTGAAGGTCAGCACTGAAGGTTAGTACAATGATCAAAAAATTATTAGGATTATGTATTTTTTACAATTCATTCAGATAATTTGAAATAAATCTTTCAGCTGATTGCAGTGGGTATTTGGATCATGCTCTTAATGTATGTCAGATGTGTAACTTGCATCTTTAATAAATATTTCAACAAGGAATGAACAAAACACTGATTTAGGTTTCAAGCTGATGAGTAAACGCTGTCTGTACATCAGGCACATTCATGTGGCTGATTGCCAGTAGATTACAGAGGCTGGTGTTAAGATGATTTCACCATTGAAGCATATCCATGTACTGAATATGGCAGACTGCACAAGGTACTAGATCACATCAGATTTCTGTAACCATTGCAAAAGGATTGTACTAAAGTTAATTTTACTTTTAATAAGTCCTGTTAACACATCTTTCAGTTTTAAAAAGAAATTCTTAGAATCGAAGTACAGATATCTTAATATTTTGAAAAATATTTTATACATATAGTTTTTGTTCCTGTATCATGTTTTCAAAAATCCATTCATTGTTACTCCAGTTCAAGCAAAAAAAAAAAAAAAATTAACTGTTGATGTAGTGTCACTCAATAGCCATGGCATATTATAGTGCTGGAATGTGGCTATGAAGAATATGATAACCAAAGACAATTCCATTGTCACAATTCTCTTGAAACTTAGATATTATTTAATTTTGTGAATATTGAAGTAATATTTTATTACTGTATAATACTAAGAAATAAATAAAATTGACCATTTTTTACAATTATCAAGAAAATTTGGTAATGTATATAGAGGAAGAATATATTTTCTGTAAAGACTTGTTTTCCTCTTATGGTACATCATGTATCAGTAGAAACAAAGACAAATGGAAGGAGTTCCAAAGCTGCACTTGATCCCTGTTTTGTGGTACAGTGATAGAGTCAAGGGTGAGAGAGAACAGGGAAGGAAAAGCTTACAAACATTTCAAAATTAAAAGACCGATACAATAACACAAAGAAGTTGGAATTGCTGTTGATCCTAAAGTTTCTGACACCATGAGAACTTATAGGGATTCTGCTTTAAAGTGTAATAAAAGCTTTTTTTGTCCCTGTTGGCCTATAAAAATCTGATAATATTGCCTGTAGGAGCACTGAAAAGTGCTGGAACAATACCACATTATCCTGTTGGTAGTTTAGCTGGGCAGGTGGGACAGCTGCCTACATTTTCTGGTTTAGTATTTAGCAGGCTGGGTTTTCCAGACTGTCAGCCAAATCATGGGCTGTGAGTCTGCTTGCACGTGTCTACTGCTTCTACTGCAAAAGAATGGCTGGATTATCCTAACAAAATTTTTTAAGCACTAGTAAGGGTATTGTAGAAATCCACTCTTATTTTACTGCTTTTCCAGACACTTTCAAATGTTTCAGCATTAGCAAAGTTACAGATTTTAACACATTTAAACTCGTTGGTGGGTTGAGCCTGGGCTCCAGGTACCCACCAAAGCTGCTCTACCACTTCAGTGGACAGGACAAAGAAAATACAGTGAAGAGTTTCTGGGTCAAGGTAAGGACAGGGAGAGATCAGTCACTTGTTACTGTCACAGGCAAACCTGACTTGACCTGGAGGAAAAAATGAATTTACTGCCAATCAAATCAGAGTAGGGTAATGAAAAATAAAAGCAATCTTAAAACACCTTCACCCCACCCCTTCCTACTTCCTGGGCTTCACCCTTGAATTCTCTGTCTCCTACACTCAGTGGCACAGGGGGATGGAGAATGGGGATTTCAAATCTACCGAATCAGAATTCCTAAAATTATTGGAAATGACTACATGGGAAAACTGAAGAAAGAAAATTAATAGATCATGACTTTTAGAATTAAGAGATGTGAGTAAAAATATGTCTAAAAATGGACACAGGCAATGTAGTGGCTCGTCTCCCTGGCACGTTATTCCAGTTTAGGGATGATGGCATTCTTGTCCTCATGTATGATAAAGCAATGTATGGCCTGTGCTATCACATTGTTGATCAGCTGTGTTCATATCTTGGTTATTTAAAAAGTTACAATGTGGCCATTTCAGCTCTCAAGCTCAGTGTGGTTACAGAATATTAACCTTTTAAATTCAGTTGACTTTGTTGCCAGACTCAGAATTCCTTATGGACTTAATGAAAGTTGGTTATTCTGAAGTTGCATTTCTTAAATTTATCTGTCCTCTTGAATGAAAACCAACTGCACTGTGAAATAACACCCAAACTGTCACAGTGGTTGAATTATTGCAGGGTGACTTTATGAATTCTAGCTTCTACTGTAGCTTGTGGTCTCACAATGAGGCCCTGTTCAGGTTATCAGCTCATTAGTAGTGCTGGGACTTTGGGATTTGGAGTGATTCTTTGTGCTGCAACAAACTCTACAAGCCAAAATATGATTCTATCCTACATAATTCTGCGATTAAGTTTTTATTCATCAGGGAACACAAAAGAAATTCTGGGAATGCATTGAAAAGCTAATTGTACAGTAATATTAAACATACCAGAGATCTGAACTGTATTGAAACATTTGCAGTTTTGAAAGACCTGTAGTCAGGTCTACAAATCTCTGCATTTGGCTGAAAGCTTTTCTATCTACTTCATTTTTATAACCTCTGTGTATGTTATAAGTTAGCTATGCACAAGATATGCAATTGATTAAGTGAAACACTCTGAGGAAGGACTCAGGTTAACTCTTCATGCAGGGTAAAGAACTGCTATTGCACACAAATGCTGCAGGTGACTTTTGCTGCTTCTGTGCTAGAAGATAATTTTTTCTTAAAATTATTTCAGTTCCTTAAATTAAAGAAATACATTAGTACAAATGAAATGTTTAAACAGGTTCTGATTCTTTCTAGATTTGTTTCCCAAGCTCTGTCATTTGGAGTGGCAATCATTTCTGAGTGCTGGAACTAATGGAAATTCTCATTATCTCCAACAGACTTTTTCCAGACAGCTCAGTTTTTCAGCAGCATTTTTCTAATTAAGCAATTAGTTATTCTGACTCTTTTGGGGGTTTAAAAGTCTAGTTTAAAAATACCATCATTATTTTTTGCTTATCTTCAATGTTGGCTACTGAATGCAAATTGCATATTGACTTGTACTTAGGAAACGTAGTGATCATAAATATTGCCTACATTTCTCTTTTAGGGTCAGTGATGGAGTGTAAGTGTAAGGCCCTTTGTACAAGGTTCTTCAGGAGCTAAGCTAGGAGAGCTGAGTGTTAGCTGCAACAGAGGCACTGCTCTCCATTGTGGTCTAGAAAACAATTGCCAACAAAAGAATTACTAACAAGGTGTCTCCAGTATGTCAAACTGAAAGCAAAAATGCTATGGAAAGCAAAAAAACCCAAAACACTGAGGGGAGTCATGTTAAGCAGGTTCTGCCTTGTGAAAGCTGTTACTTTTACTTTTGGGACAAAACTTTGCACTGAACACAGAAATCTAAGAGAATCCCTGTCAAGAAAACTTTCCATAGAGACTATTCAGTCAGTCACTGTCCAGACACAGTTCTGACTAAGAGCTTCATTATTTGGCTGTAACACAAAGTTTGTGCAAAAAAAAAAAAAAAAAAAAAAAAAAAAAAAAAAAAGGAAAAAAAAAAAAAAAAAAAGTCAGAACGTGAAAAAAAAAAATTACAATGCCTGTATCTTTTACGGAGATCAGAAAGTAATAAAAAACTTAAGCTAAGTAAAGAGGGTTAGGGAATCCAAGAAGACTTCACTTAATGTGCTCATTTAAAATATCACAAAATTATATCTGAATGCAATGTATGCTGCCTTGAATTTAGTCCCACAATATTACAACAAAAATGTTTTCTTTCTCTTTGCTTGCCACAGCTAGCCTTTTAAAATGCTGTGTTTCTTCTTACTCTAGTTTTCACATAGCACAACCCATGACCTTGGCAACAAACCAAGCTTTTGTGCTTACACTGCATTGCTAAGGCTTGCAGTTTTCTCTCTCCCACAAGACAGATAAATTGAGCATTTTAATTTTTGTAATTTCTGAGAGCTATAGTAGGAAAAAACCTATGATTTTAGCTGTCTGCTGTATTTAAGCATGTAAAATTCATGCACATATAAAATAAATACATTAAATATTAAATACATTTGTTAGTCTTAAAATTTTACTTGATAAAAGGATACCTATCAGTCTGCTTTGTAACAAGCTATTATTTGTATGCTTTGGCTTTATATTATACATTTTATTAGCATATAGAGGAAGTCATACTGTGATCTCTGTCAACTTAGGCCAAGTATTGGTTTGAAAATGCAACAGAGAGTACAGTATTTCATTTACAGTAATCAGCACCCATATGCTGTGTTAAATAAAGAGAAAAATCAAAAGCTCATGTGCTTTCCAGCAGTCTGTGCTGTGGATCTCTCTTGCTTTTCCTGTCTTGCTGTTTAGTGTTTAAAACTTAGAAGGAGCAACTTAGATTTGTACTACATAAGAGGATTTTCCTTTGTTTTTTCAAATGACAGAAGAATCCTTCTGCCCTTCAAAGCAGAGCAGAATTTCTTGCAATAAGGATTGACATATACTTAAGGGAAACATAGTGGAGAAAAGACACAATAGATCCATGTTTTCTTATATATGTGTGTCTCAGGTATGACTGACTTAATCAAAATGGAAATTTTTCCCTCAGTGTTGGTGCCTTTGTCTTCTGTTGCTTCTTCAAACATAGACATTAAAAGTCTGATGTTTGGAGAAGTTTATTATACTTATCTTGAGCCTACTTCTCGACTGAAAATTGGAAACTGAATAAAAGTAATCACTGCATATGCTCAGATTTTGATATTGCATAGAAAGTTGTACATTTTGCATGAAAAAATATGCCTAGGGAAACTTGTGAGCACTAGCTAGAAAAAGGGAATTAATTCATGTCATGTTTAAGTTGCATGTTGCTTAAGTGTCTTGCTAAATAAGACCATTCGTTAGCAAAACCAAATATGCAATGAAAAGGAAGTGAACTGCAAGCATATGAGGAACTGGTGCCATAATGAAGTTTCTGTACTTTTCTCATTAGGGCTTTGACTATATTATTCTTACTCTCAGAAAATAGATAATATTAAATTAATATCCCACACAATGACATTTTAAATATAAATTTTTTCACTTTTTAATTTTAGCATTCATTCTTTTACATTTCAGAAAATATTTCCTTTATTCAAATTTTTTTTAAACAACACACACTTTTAAAGTCTCAATAATATTTTTTGATAGTAGAAGGACATCTGGTTTTGTCATTCTTGAAGTACTCAAGATTAGTTTCTTAAAATTATAGAAAACTTAAAAGAATCTTAGAAATGAAATTATTTGAGACATTTCTTTAAAAAAATAAAGCAACAATGCAATGACAGAGCAAAGATTTTGAGTTCTTTGAATGAAAAATAGTTTAAAATCTTTGTGAAGATTCTCTTTTTTCTAGCTATCCTTCCATCCGTCATTGTTTTGCCTCATGCTTTGCTTCTCCAAACTCCTTGCAATAGGGACTATAGTATTTTAAATTGTGAGTATGGTGAATATGACCATGAATGCAGAGATAACATTAGAAAAACTTTAGATAACACTCTAAAATTATTTACAATATAGCAAGGGATCTGAGCTTCTATTACAGAGATGGTTACCACATTAGCCCTTAGAACCAAATTCTGTCTGTCCTAGGAAAGCAGACTCACTGGAGCTGCTTCCATGAGTTAAAGAAACAGTTCTAGTCACAAATTTTATTCTCACACTCTCCATATGTTTGTTAAAATGTCTTGATTTCTCCCCAATGTCTACATGACAAGGTTCTGGCAGCATTGCTCCAAGGGTGAGTCTGAGAGCCTGCAGCTGCCCCACTTCCCTCATTCCAACACAAGCTGCTGATGCATATGGCCTGGACCACCCATATTCCTGGGACATTAGAAAAGTAATTTGGTATAAAAGTGTTAGGACATTTGAAGAAAATGTCTTCAATCAAGCAGGATTTAGACAGGAAAACATAGCAAAGACTAATAAAATAAGCTTAGTTGACTCCTGAGTTACATAAAGCATCCAAGAACAAAAACAGCCCTGACATTGGCTCAGGCAAGCTTAGTATTAGGGGTGAGTTATATGCAGTGTAATAACTGCTTCTCCACTATTCCTCTGTTATGTAGGTACAGTTTGTGGTAGTTGGGAGTGGGGCTGAGGCTGTGCCTCATCCCCAGTGGGTGCAGCTGTGGAAAGCAGGTGAGCAGCACTGACAGCAATGAGCCATGGAGTGCCCAGGGGCACTGACCAACCTCCAAAGGGAACAGAGGGCACACAGGGGCAGTGCATGAACTTGGGGGGATAAAAGGCTGGGCTAAAGAACAAGAATGGCAGATGCTTGCAGCCTTCTGGGGTAGTGTTCCTCTATCTGGGTTGAAACCTTCTGATATTGTATGGTGATACTCTGTGTATCGTGGCTGTCTCAACTGCAGCGTGTGCTGTGGCATATGCTGTGACACTGTCATGCATGAAATTTCTGTTGTAATTATCTAAGGCCCCATTCTCTCTTCTGGATGAGTTGCTGGTGTGTGTAGTTGCTGTTTGAAGTTGGGGATGCTCTGCAATCACTGGGTACTCCAGAGTAGAGGTTCTATGAATGAGTAAATACTTAGTTCTGTTACAATTTCTTATGTGTTAATGAGCTTCAGATCCTGACTGGTCCTGAAGGCCAGGCTGCAATATAAATATTTACTAATATTTTAATAATAAGTTTCTAAATAGGGGGAAAAAAACCCCTGCCCAAACAGAAATGGCATTTTGACTTTTCACAATAATCTAGAGGAGTATTTTAGCACTTGTAGTGCGATTCTGAATCTGCAGTGACTTGAATCCATAGTCTGGCTTTGCTTTTTGGCCTGTTAGAAAATTAGGCCATTAGGACTGAGGAATAGCCTTGTAACAGTTAAGAAAAATATATCATTGTGTCTAATAGATATAACCAGCTACACACTGTAAATGAAGTAGTTGCATTTGATTTCCAAAGGAAAGGAAGTGACAAAGCCTACACATTCCCAAGGCAGGGAAAAGAAAAAGTTAAAGTATATTAAAGTGGGCTTCAAATTCCAGCTTGTTTAGGAGACTGGAGAAAGACAGCATTTAATCTGGAGACTTAGAAACTGAATGCTACATAAAAATAGGAAATACTAAAACAGAGTCATTGTGATCATTGTCAGATGTGCCAGCACCTGGAGTCCCAATGCAAATCAGCTGCAATTAAAAGTACTCAGCAATGTTGAAAATCAGGCTTGATATTGTTACAGGATATTTTGTTACAATGGAATTCCTGTCATTTGGACTGTCTCAAGAAACATTGGCAATCACAGTTTGTAAACCATGACCTGCTCTAACCACAAATGGTGTTAGGTATAGAAATTGAATTTTATGGCATGCATTATACAGGGGGTTTTCTATGCTGCAAAAGAAAAATGTCCCTACAGTTCCTGAAAACAGATCTGGCTCACCATCATATTACCTCAGGTATTAAAAACAGTACAGCTACATTGGCTTACCCATTTCCCAGGAGGTTTTTACTATGTGAATCTGAACTTTGTCCTGACGTACATGTATGTTTAATAGCAAAATGAATCTGCATGGTAAGAATTGCGTTTTTGTCTTCTAGTGTTCAATCCATGACACTGGTGTCTATCTGTGGCTAATCTGTGCAGAAATCTGGGCATTTTAGAGGATAAATTGAGTAATTTAGTAGTAAATGGCTCAGGCATAGATGGTGGGAGACACCTCTTAAGAGCTGTCAAAGGACTGGAGTCACTTTGGAGCCAATCTGTTTGGTTTGGAGTGTGAACAGGAAGAAACATCTGTATATCTCTGGAACAAAGATACATTACAGATGCTGACCTTGAAGGTTGCAAAGAGTTTGAGGACAGAAATCTCAGAAGAAGTTGGAAATACCCTAGCACACAGTTATTGTTAGAGAGAGACAATGCATTCATTGCAGTCTGCAGTAGAAAGGCAGAGACTTTCAGCATAAGAATATAAATAATGAAGACTTATTCTTTGTTATGTCATAGCCTCAGGTGGCTTTTGTCTCTAGCAAGTGAAGGCCCTTACCAACTGGTATAGTCATTATCATTTTCTTACCCACAGAAACCATGGTGAAATAATAATAAATTATGTTCTGCAAATGTCTGTAGGCCTTATGACATAAACTAAAAAAAAAAAAAAAAAAAAAGTAAAAATTACTCAAAAAAAATAGCTGTTACAGAGGATCAAGAAGTTTATTTTTAAATTGTTTTCAAAATGGAAATGACAATATTCTATAGAAGAGATGCTGGACAAAGTCTTCCCTTTCTCCATAGCAATGGAAGACGCATCCAAGATAATACAGCAGTAATTTCTGGACGCTGAAGGAGAAATAGATTTTTGGAGAGTGGGTGATCCTAGAGTGGGTTATCCTAGTCTGTGTGTTGCACAGTATTTGTTTTGCCAGCATCTGTTTCCAGGAGTTCCAATATGATAGCTCCAACCATATTTTCCATAAATGTGAGTAGATCTAGTGTAGAAGATGAAATTTTCCAGAAAGAGGTCAATATCCTGGATGGTGATCCCTGACATTTACCAGGGAATAAATCAGGCAGTCTAATAAAACTAGTGCTAATTGATGCCTTTGTATGTATATTACATACAAAAACAATAGTTAAAAATTTCATATAGATTAAGCTTTCTGCATAAAAATTGTTTGAAGAGTTGCTTTTTGGAAACATGAAAGTTTCATAGTTTTTTATGTAATGTCCTAATGACATTCCTTGTCTTTCAAGTCTTCACTCTTTTTCTTAGATCTGTAATTGCTAACAAAATGCTGCAATGTATTGATTTTCATTTCTAAAAATAGTTTTTCTGAGATTTCACATCACTTTAGTAATATAAAATTATTATAAATTAACTTTGAAGTGATAGCAGCATTAATTGTCATGTAGCAAAAAAATCTTTATTATATTCTTTAGTATTTCATTAGCAAGTACATTAAAGTGGTGCCACTTTTAAGTAAAGAAAAATGCAAGAACAAATTATGTCCTTGAGATCACACCTATCAGACCATCAGTCTTTGCTGTAAGAAATTAAAGTTCTGGCATAAACCCATTTTAGTTTAAGCACATAACTATTTTATTGTCTTGAATAGAAGTACTCTAGTCAACAAAAATTTGAAATCTGTGGATTTTCACAAAGCTGTTGAAAGTACCTTTCACCAGACAACAGCCTCTGCTGAGAAAAATGCAAAGTTTTATGTTTGCATAAGGAGCCAGGATTGGAAACTTCTTTCATTGTTCCATTTTTTGTATCTATTCAGCTTGTGAGATTTCAGGAATCTGCAAAATTTGAACTCCAGCCGCACTCTTCCAGCATTATCATTACAGTGTCCACATCTGGGTGCCAGACACTATCTACACATGCTTGTTTTTCCAGGATGATACTTCCTCTCTGCCTACAATTAGGCAGTGCTGTTCACTGTCTAATTGTAGATAACTTATTAAACATATGGAATAAAGGGATAACTTTTTTTCCAGTAAAGTTTACTTTATTGATATGAAGTACAGTACAGTCTGCTGTGATTATCAAAATGAGTTTTACAAAATCAGCATTTAATTTTCCTTCAAATTAGAGCATTTAGGATCAGAACATTGCCCAGTTTCCTGGTGTAGAAGCTGTAAAAATCACAAAGCATCTTTAGATCCTTTTGCAGTCCTAATGAAAGTCCTTGTTGTCTTGAATAAGGAGGCTGTTCATACACTTTTGAGTGTGACAGCACCATTTCAAATGTTGTCTTATGCTATGGCTGTAGCCAAAAAGCTCTTAATGGTAAGGCAGTAATTTTAAGACATTTGGTCTTAGCAAGTAGTATTTTGTTCTTTCAACAAAAAAATCCACATAAAACAAACCAAATAACACATCCCCTCCCTCCCTCCCCCTCCCAAAAAAAAAAAAAAAAAAAAAAAAAAATTGAAAATTCTTCCACCCCAAATTCTGGAGATCTGTAAATGTGTTTTGCTGGTGGAAGTATTTCACATCTCACTACCTTTCTTCAGTTTCTTTGTTTCTCAAGAGGTAGGAAAACAGATTTTTTTATGATTTTATGGAAAATTTGCAGAGAGTAATCCCACTGTAATCACACTGCCTGTTCCCAGGTACTATAACAGAATGTAAACACTTATGAGATCCCATATTTTGAAAACAGGGTCCTTGTTCATTCATAACCCAGATGATGCTCACTTGATGAACAGCAATTTAGTATTTGACCTTTTCATTGATGTTTGTGTGTGTCCTCAGGCCTTATTTATACAGAACTAAAATTGTGCAATTAAGTTAGAAAATTACATATTCTTCATATGGCATTTGACTTTTATAGTGACTAAATGTCTTGCAAACATAATTTATCCTCAAACTCATCTGTTATTTTCTCTATAGATATATAACCAGGGATACAGAGATGAAGCAAGTAAACAGAGCTCCATCTCTTTTGATTGCAAATGTAATTCGAATGCTATTTGCAAAAGCATGTAGGGGTAGACTTAAAGTTAAGAGCAAATTCAGAACTAACTTTGAAGGATATTTTAAATAAGTATGTGGACAAGCTATGCTAGTAAAAACAAGATAAACATATCTAACAGGCATTGAAATCTTGGATTCAGCTTGTGTTACATACCCTAGCTGAGAATGTAGTGATTAAGTCATCACATCTGAGGCCTAATTCTGAAAGAAGTGCAGTTTCTCTTGCACATGGATGAAAAATGTTTAGTTGCTGGGTGTAGAATGTTTCTGTATTACAGGTGAAAAACAGCTCATAAATCCAAGACTGAAATAGGAAGGGTAGAGAAGCCAATTAATACAAATCCTGATTTTTCCACTTTAACCAATCCTAGGTTCAAACATTGACACTAATATTTTGTAAAATAAAACAAGGACTCAAAACCTGAGAAAAACTGCCTTGATATAGTTGTATCAATAGACAAAAAGAAAATGAAACCAGAGTGAAAATACAGACAAAAATCTTAAAAGTATGGACTATGAAAAAAAAATTCAGATCTGATAAGCTTCTTTGCATCTGTTTAGGTAAAACTTAGGAAGATCACACAGAAACAAATACTCTTTTGTCATAATAAAAGTAATATTTGCTAGTGATCTATTTTCTGTGTTATTGTGAGAGTTCCTATGTAACATAAGGAAAAATTAGCTGTGTGTTAGTGGCAATAGTCTGATTGCTGCAGAGGTAATTTTTTCAGAATGATAAATATATAACATTAGTGCATAATAAATACATGCATTTTTGTGTCTCTGTGTGTGTACACATTTTATTTATCCGTGTGGTGCTTAGCCTTTTTACATCAGGACTAATTCTTGAAAGCTTTGAAAAGCTTCATGCAACCAGTGGTTTTTATTCAATATACTGTATCTACTTCCTTGATTTCCCTGTAGAGGTAGAATTGCTATTCCAGTAAATGGCAAATTACTCTGGCCTTAGGCCAAGATTAGCAGGCCTGGAACCTAGGTCAGTGACACATTTAGGGCATCTCACCAGGATTTTAGGCTGGATATGAGAGAAGAGGGAGATTCTGACTGAAGCTAAAGCTGTGGTGGAGCTGCAGGCTGTCCTGTGATCCTCATGTCATGAAGGTGAAGAAATGTGATTTTGGGCATCTCTTTTCAAGAGGTTTCCAGAGAAGGTTTCAGTAGAAGGTCTAAATTCTCTTTGTAAGCCTAGAAGTGATGGTTTTCAGGCTGGGAAAAGATCCAGGCTGAAAGGTAAAAAAAGTTTCAGAGTGCAGAGGAGAAAAGTATATTTTAAGAATCTAAGTGACCTCTCACAGGAGTTCCATTGCTATTTTCCAAGACTATCTGCTTTACAGAATATATGAAAAAGCTAGTATTTGTGTTATAAAGCTGCTGGAATTGGAGTCAGTAGTATTTGCAAATGTTTATTCACTCTAAAAACTAGGATAGAAATTGTAGTCAACCAGTATCACAGTTAACTGGCCTGAGCTCCACAGAGCAAATCAGAGCCCAGAACTCTTGAGTGACAGTCCTGAGGTTCTTACCCATGCCCTTAAAAAAAAAAAAAAAAAAGTCGTTTATACAGATACAGTTTTCTGTTCATTTAAAAGAGAATAAAAAGAAAAGGAAAAAGGTGTTATGCACAAAACTGGGCATTTGCAGAGAGCAGTAGAATGAATTTATTTGGGCCTGGTTCTCTAAGCACAACATTTTATGTTCTGGGTTTTGTTCAATTTAAAGAAACCAAATTCAACATGTTTTAATATATACATAGGAACTTACATAAATGTTAGTCTAATAAACCCACAGTATAATATATAAACAATTAAAAATAGCCCCTTAATGCATTTCTTCTTTTGCTAGTTACATTCCCAGTCAATGGCAGAATGACTTCACTACTAATGAAGGGTACCTAGAGAACTGAAGTGTCTGAAGTGGATCAAAGGATTGATGTACAAGCATTGTAATTGAGTTCTGCAAGAGCACAGAATACCTGGAACACTGCCACATCTCTTCCTGCCCTCAGCTGACAGATGAAGCTGTGAAAACAATGGCATTTCACTGCCACACACTGACATCTGTCAACAGAGGAGGTTGCCCAAAGGTATGCACAAGAAATAGGGTGACAGTTCTGGGATTGCTATTGCAAAGAATTACTTACTATTTTATCCAGAAATTTGACCTGCTGGCATCATTCAGCTGCTTTTCTGTGAGTTTTAAGATTTGAGACTTGCCTCTTGGGAGTATTTGGCATTCTTCTAATTTTTGCTGGTACAGTATAAAGGTGTCCACACTGTATCAGGTAAAAGTTTTTCTCTCCAGTGGTTGATGTCTATACAAGGGTAAAGCGAGAAGAGCTTTCACATTATATATCATGTCCTGCAAATATTCTCCCAGGATCTGGTGCTTTGAAAGGGTTGTGGCTTTGTTTAAATTAGTTTTTATATTTTCATGTTTTGGTTTTTTTTCCCAGTGCTTTTTCTGAACCCAGGTAAAGCATAAACTGGGGCATTAGAACTTAATACCTGTGTCTTTACATGGCAAGGCTGTAGCTACTATGAAATAAAAGAGGTGTTTAAATGCTGAAGCACTCAGGGTTGAAATTAAATTATTTAGATTAAGATTCATCTGTAGTGAAACTTACTTCCACTTTACCATGAAGTGCTATTAAAGCATTTTTGCTTCTTGTATTTTCTGTATAATTTCTTTTTTACTAAAGCCTGGCATCTCAATTATCTTCTTGCTGCATATGAATGTAGATTCCTTTTCGAAATTATGTTGTTACTAAAGCCTATATCCCTTCCCTGTACATTCTGACTTATTAGCTCTGGCTTTTGTTAATTTAATTACTTATGCAGTTTTAATATTTTTAACAGAAAAAAAAAAAAACACCAAAAACTTGCTTCATTTTGAAAATAAGCATACAAACACAATTTTTAAAATGCTGTTTTCATTTTTTGTTTAAATTTCATGGGAAAAGCCACTTAATGAACCAGTTTTTCCTCATTTTTCCCCATTGAAATGCCCATGTCCTGTTTCCTTCCACAATGTCTGCAGCCATCACTTGTCCCTGCTTTCCTCCTCACCAACACCCATCTCCATAACTCCTGACTATTCTTCCAGTCCTACACACATCCCCTCATTCCCTGCAGTGGCTGAACACAGCCCGTGCACAACTAATTTGAGATTATTTGGCCAACTAATTAGCTAGCCCTAAATTTAGATGTTCTCTGATCAAGTTGTTTGCCTTCCAAACGTACATAAGTTTCTCAGCCTCTAGGCCAAAGCTCACTGGCTGTGTTTCAGATCTGGGAGGCCACTCTCTGTCTTACACTAGCCCTTGGTTTATATCTTACAGACACCTACTGCACACCACAATTATTATATACATGGGTCCTAACCTTTCCTTTGGGTTTAGATAGAGCTATTTTTCCACGATGACAGTGGTAATAGAAGTTGTGCACAGAGGTCTTCCCAAAGCACTTGAAGTATGTGTGCTGCCATCAGTCCTGTCTGCCCAACATGACATACCAACACAGGAAAACAAAACAAAACAAACACCATAAAATGTCAGTAAATACATTTAGGCTGGCAACTGAGAGATGGGTGGTAGTATGGCTCTTGGTAAGGAATGGACTGGGTCATATTTTGCAGTTCCTGCAAATGGGAAAAATGAGTCAACTCAGTGACCCAGTAATCCCCTTCCAACACTTTGTTCCTAGATGGTATCTTTTTTTAAACACTTATAAAGCCAATCTGTTAAATGCTAATACCCTACTATTTTCAGAAAAGAACATTGAGACTCTTCCACATAAACCTACCCATAAGTTTACAAGTCTTTGTTTGACTTGAATCCAGCTTGCAGCTCCATAAAATGAGATGGGTACACCTGTGGATGTTAAAGCTAATGGGTCTTACAAATCCTTTGGCAACCTGTAGTATAAATTGAGGGTATCCAGCTGCTAAGTAAAGAAATATTTTCCACTCAGAAACTGTTTAAAAATGGTCAGGCAATTAAAGTTGGAATGAACCTGTTCCAAAGGATATGTGTTAATGTGTCCTGCAACTTCAGGTATTTTATTTTTAAGAAAAATAATTTTAAAATTAATATAGAAATATTACATATAATATTAAAATATTAGATTAATATAGAAATAGATGTACACTAAGGATATTTTGAATGTGCTTTGCATGTTACTCTAAAATTAGAAGAGTTTATAACTTTAATCCTATATTCTGAATCAAATCAATTGTCTTTCAACAAACTCCAGTGACTTCATTGGAGGTGCTGTGAGTCTCCATGTCATGGTTCTGTATGCCTAGGGCAGGTATAAGTAATTTTTCAAATGTTGATTGTATAAAATATTCAGCCTTATTCAGGGAATGAGCCTGTTTCAAGGGTAATTCTTATTTCATAGGAAAAAAAAATGAAATTGTTGTAGGAAATATTCTACACACGAAAAAATACAGCAAGAACTGAAAATAAATCACTGGTTAAATGAATTGGCCTTTTAAATAGCTAAGTTCTGAAGATACAATAGAATGAATAATGAATTCTGTCATTTAGTCCTCTAAAGGGAATAGGATCCAGCATATGACAAATGTAGATTTTTCTAAATGCATCTGATACCAGTTATGACTGACTTCAGAGTCAGCAACTTTTTTAAAAAGAAGAATATGAATCTACTTAAAATATTTTTACTTATTTATTAATCTATTGCAGATCTTAATATTGAGCATATAAATAGATCTGGAATAAGCAAAGCACATGTACATTCCTCTATATACCATGAGGACTATAATGAGATAGTGTGATAGGAACTTTTTGTTCCACAACCCCAGGCCCCAGCTTTATATTTATCTTGTCCCTTATAGATTCTCATGAGATTGGCTGTTTAGTACAAGTGAAATTCTCATCTCTCTTTCTACCACCTCGCTCCAGTGATTTTAATCAAATGTCTTCAACAGGTTTTTACTATGTTCCCTCTAGATTTTTGGTCCTGAATGAACAAAGTAATTAAAGTATGTGCATAATGTATTCTTGACTGTTCCCGTTGAGGTCAGTGGAGCAATTATTAGCTTGCATGGCTGCTTATGTACCTTGAAGACTGTGTGTTATGTTTTTCTCAAATCAACTTCCAGCATTAAGGGCAATGAGTATCAGCTCCTGAAAAATGGACTTGCGAGGTGAAACTAAGGAGTTGTGCTGCAGAGCTAAAAAAACCAACCACACATTCAAAAAGTCTTGGTGTGAGACACTCATTTGTAACAGAGAACTGAGTTTAAAATGTGATACAAGTGCATCCTCATAATTCAGAGAGAGCAATGCAGTAGCACAAATACTAAAGGCTTGTATCTGCTACATGCACATATATGGGTGAGAAAGTTAAACCATTCTCAGTAGGTGAAAAAAACCCCACAATATTTAAAACCAGACTGCAATCGCAGTTAACTAATATCTAATATTAGAAAGTGACAGTTTCTGTGGAGCCTCTTGCAGAGATTCAGAATTCTGCTGTGCCAGAAACCTTACTTCAATTTTAAAACATTTTTCCTACCAATCAGATACAAAGTTGTTCTCTGGGCATTTTTTTAAATCTATTCAATAATCTTTTAAATTCTGCATGACTTGTTGCTTCATTTACAGATTATTGATACATGTATCCAATACTCAGCTGCAGCCTGCCATTATCTCCCCTTCTTGGACATCTCAGGTTGTATTCATCTTACTGACAATACCCAAAATATCTTGAAAGGCTGTGAGCAACTCCAGATTCTCACAACACTGTACTGTAGAAAAATTACCAAGAAAATATTTCCTAGACTTACTTCAGAGGAGGTTGTTAATCTCAAAGCATGAGGTTCTTTTCTTCACTGGCATCATGGTGCCATGCTAGGTATCTGGCTTGACCCATCTACTTCTTTATCTAGGGGGAGTCCCTATTGATGCCTTGGGACTCCTGTGGTCTGGCAGGGTTATCTGCATATTCCAGTGTCAGCCAGAAGTGAACAGAGATACAGACTCTGTCTCTTCATGGCAGACAATGTCCTCTTAGGGATGTTTCTGCTGACAAAGGACACTACCTCAAGGACACATGGGAAAACCAGGCTGGGCTTAATGCTCTCAGCCATCTCACTGTGTACTTGAGCTCTCTCCAAGGGTCTGTGGGATCCTGGTTCCCAGTGACTGAGTGTCAGTACATGGCAGTAGATTTGTGCCTGTGCCCACAACACAGCAGGTTACAGCGAGCGAGTCAAGCTATGGTGCTGTGACCACTTTCCCAGGCTGGTTTTTACTGACCAACCTCTAAGAACCTTCTCTTAAAGTTCAGTCTGAACTTCCCCTGACAGAGATTGTGCCTTATCATTGGTCAGCCCTTCCCCCTCAGCCTTCCCTTCTCCAAGCTGAACAAACCAAGTGACATAAACTGCTGCTTGTAATTCTTGTGCTCAAGACATTTCACCATCTTGGTCACCTTTTTCTGGATGGTCTCTAATAGTTTAATGTCTTTCTTACATTGTGGTGCCCAACACTGCCCTCAGCACTCGAGATGAGGCCACCCCAGTGCAGAGCAGAGCAGAGCAGGACAATCCCCTCCCTTGCCCAGCTGGCCATGCTGTGCCTCATGTCACCAGGACACGGGTGGCCCTCCTGGCTGCCAGGGCTCTGCTGGCTCATTTTCAACTTTCCATAGATCCCTTTCTGCAGGGCTTTTTTCCAGCCTTTCATCCCCCAGTGCATATGTATAATCAAGTTTACCCCATCCCAGGTGAAGAATTGAGTATTTGCTCTTGTTCAGTTTCATGCAGCTGGCAACTGCCCAGCTCTTCAGTCTGTCATGATCTCTCTGTAGCTCCTTTCTACCCCGCAGGGAGTCTTGTTTAGTATCATTGGCACACTTTACATTTAATTCCTGCATCCAGATAATTTATAAAAACATTACAAATTGAGCACTGGTGTCTGGCCACTAACCTGATATAACCTCATTTACTGTAACACTTTGAGCCCAACCTGTGAGCCAGTTGCTCACTTATGGACTTGCCCAGCTGAGTTCTGGACAGTTTATCCAGGATACTTTTGGAGACAGTATCAAAAGCTCTGCTAAATCCAAACCCGCCATATCTACTGGCCTCCTCTGGTCAGCTAGGTAGGTGACCTTGTCATTAGAGGAAATAAAGTTGGTTAAGCAGGACTTCCCCCCACCGTGAACCTATGCTGGCTGTGCCCAGTGACTGCATTGTCTCTCAAATATTTCTCAGTTACTCTCAGAATAACCTTCTCTATAATTTTACCAGGCACTGAAGTGAGACTGGAAGGCCTGTAATTGCCACAGCCTTCCTTCTTACCCTTCTTAAAAACTGGGAGAACTGAGTTTTCACCTGTGAGTCTCAAAAGATGTGGATTCAATGCCCACCACCCTTCCATGGGGGTTAAGAGTATTACACATCAGGCCCTGTACACACAGAACAGCACAGTAGCCAGACATGCCACAGGGCCTGAAATTGGAAAGGAACTGAAGTTTAGACATGGTTGATATATCTGAGTATATAAATTAATAAAACTTTATGAGAGTAAGAAATATATAATACCATCCTATGAGACAGCCTATACTAGGAGAGCTCTAACTGTACTGTAACAGGTCCTCTGGAAGTACTGTACTTCCTGCTAAGCCATTCCAGGGTTTAATAGCTGCTTGAGAGACCACAGTACACATACTTAATAACTCAAAAGGTATTTCCCGTGTGCTTCACACTTTCCAAATCCTCCTCTACTATTTCCCTGCCTTACCACAAACAATTCTGCCATCATTGGTCTTATTTTCTTCACTTCTCTCAGATGTATTTTTCTCAATGTCATCTCAGAACTTCCTCCTTAAAATCTCTACTTCTAATTAAACACTTGTTAGATATAGAAAGTGCTTTGAAGGATTGGTATACAACAGTAGTAATTGAAAAAAATCAGATTCATTTAATCTCTTCATAATTTTTGATTTACAGTTTTTCTCATATTAAGCCTCAAGGGATTTTCTTTTATCCTCAGATTACTGTTGTTGACTTGTTTATTCTGTGACTTCATATATCTGTTTAGAGCAGCAACAGTGTGTCTGATTCTGCTTGCCAATCCATCTTCCTGTAGAAGTGAGATGTAATGGGAACAGAAATTTGTGCAAATTCCAGTTTGTGCTGGGTGAGCCATCATCAAGGAGCTGACATGACTTCTCAGAAACCCATTTGCATTATCCTGGCCTGGGATGACCCAGGATTTTGCCTCTGCCTAAGAGTCCCATGTGCAATGGGTTCTCCAAAGGTCTTGATTAAACTCTTCTAAACCCAGCCAAGGAATTTCCCAACCAGTTATTTTTACTCTAAAGATAACCCTGGAGAGTTACACATCTTTGCAAAACAAAAAGGCAACCATGAGGCACACGTCTCCACCCTGTGTTATCTTTGCCCTTTTTGTGATGTTTAGAACTAGGTAAACTTTGCCAACTTTATTTTCTTGAGTCTCATTTTCTGGACAGTGGATGTTTTTTTTTCCTTGCCAGCCACAGTCTCTAACCCTTCACACCACATATTCAGTGACAGGGAACTCCCATCCTGCACCATCTGAGTCTGGGACAAAACCTACTAGGTGGATTGATTATTGATACAGAATAATGCAGTCTTGAACATTTTTTGTTTGCTCCTTCCAACAGGTTCAAAGACATCTCACCCTAGATTTTGCCAGGCCACAGAATATACTGGGAATGATATTTAGAAGATAAAAGTGAGTTCACAGTGAGATTCTGATAGATTCTGCATCCTGCATGTCTCCCAGTTGAGGAAAATCTTTTTTTTTTTTAATTGCAGTTCAAGGTCAATAAGGCAACGATGATAAAAATTTTATCTTCTGCCAATAACTACATGAAAAGCACAGTAAAATATGGCATGATTCTAGAGTTAGTTATCCTGCAGTAGCTTTTCAACTACATCAAAAGCAATGGCAGTATTTCGCTGTCACCTATTTCTGTAAAACTGTGTTTCTTTCACAACCTGTAAGTTTTTAGTAATGAATGACAAGCAAAAGATTGTCAGAAAAACTAAAAATGGGCCCTAATTCTCTGTTTTCAGATTAACTCTTAAAACCACATTCAGGTTCTTAGATTTTCACAGAAGGTAAAGGCGGGTTTCAGGAGTAATTTATGTTCTGAGGGTGTGAAACCTACATTGTAGAGAAATTTCATTCCCTGTTTAAGGAGATGGAAGAGGCAATCTAGGTAAAAATCACATTCATCTGCAAAATTAAATATGCTAGTGGCTTAGGTTCTAAATAAGCAATAGAAGCAATATGTTTTTAGTTTAAAGTTGCCTTAAAATATCTGTGGCATAAAATATTACTTCATTGTTCCAAAGGAATTCCCCATTATTTATTGTTAAATACTAACCAGTCCTAGCAGACATTTCTTAATATACTAAACCTTGCAAGTATTGAGTCATATCTCTTGTATTGTGCACATTATTTTTGATTTTTTTTTAAATTTTTACTGTTTTGATAGATTAAAATAGAAAACATGTGGAGCCACAAAGTTCTTCAAGTTTCAGTCCAATGCAGCTTCATAGGAAACAGTTATAGGCTTTCAATTGTTCATTCTTTCCAGTATCAAGTAGATTTTGAGATTATATTTGCCAACATTCTGCCCTGCTTCCAGGTTTAATAAATGTTAGGAAGAAAAAAAGGTCTGTGGCTTGGTATCCTGCTGCATATTTCTGTATCCAGAGGCTAATGACCTTTCAGTTAATCCAGTTTTTAAATGGCAGAAAGAATCATGGATAATCTAACATGGAAGTATATAGTGCTGGTACAATTGATTTCTTCTGCTAGAGAAAAAACAGCCTAACTCACTGCTTTCTAAAATGTAGGAAAAGGTTGTGTCAGTTTGATTTCCTTAAGACTACTCCTACAGGAAATAACACACTGGCATCTTTAGAGAAATGCTTCTCTTCCCTGTAAAACATTCTGTGTTAATATTTCTACATGCAAAATGAGAAAGGAAACATGCCATTGACAGAGAAGCCAGCTAGTCTTGTAATTTCCCCAAACTACATCTCATCTGTAACAGTCTAGTTCCCCGAAAATATCTTCTTAAATGATTCAAAATTAGATGCTTCCTCCTTTCTTGTCTGCACTAACATTAAACTGGTTACATTTCTGCTAAACTCATGACTATGCTATTAACAAGAAACTCATCAACAAATCCTCTTACAATTTTTGTCTTTTAAACAAAAATTACATTAGGTCTTAATAGTTACAATACATTTTACATTTGGAGAAGACTTTTTGTTTGGTTTTTTTGTTGTTGTGCTTTCTAATGGCTGCTGTTGGTTAGAAAGGAGATTGAAAGAACTCTTTTTTCCTAAAAAACCAAAATTTCTTAGATGTTATCCAAATATTCAGGTCTCAGGGCAGGAAAAATCCAACAAACATGAAATTGGAAACGAAGGCCCCCTGCACATGATTTGGTAAAAGACGAACAACAATTACCCCTAAGTCTTCTGTTTAACAAGCAACAAAAATACAGTACTCTCTTCTCACTGACTCTAATTCTTTTTGGAAGTGACACAGAGGCTCCTGGAGTGCCATGTTTCAGCCACTGAGTGCAGATGAACTGGATGCCATAAAATTATAAAACTACTGCAGCTGACATGGACCTCAGAATACTTCAGATCCTATGTAGACTTACCACATTTTGTAACCTGGAGCATGCCTGCAGAATGCTTCCTGCCTTTCCCATTAGCTCCCTGCCTCTACTTGCTTAATTTCTCCTGTATTTGCACTATAAACATTTCTCCCATGTTTGAGTTTTTATTTTCCATTGCTTTTTACTGTTGATTGGTTTCTGTACCCTCAGCTCAATAAGTTTTTTTTCAAAATCTCTGCTTTTTATTATGATGGACCAGGTCAAACAGGAACAGGCTCCCCAGGGCAGTGGTCACAGCACCAGCCTGACAGTTCAAGAAGCGTTTGGATAATGCTCTTGGGCAAATGGTGTGACTCTTGGGAATGGTGCTGTGAGTTGGACTTGATGATCCTGGTGGGTTCCTTCCAATTCTGCACATTCTGTGATTCAGAAGAACTGTTGAATTTTGGAATGGCTCAGGATTCAGACCATGTTCCAGAACTGTATTTCCCAGTTACCCCCTCTCAGTAAAATGGATTCAAACTTTGGGTAAGGATTCAATTAGGTATTCCAGTGCTGCTCAAGCCCTGTGTTTGGGCCAGTACTTTTGTCTGACTTATACCAAGAGATAGTTGGTTTGCCAAAGATAACTGTAATTATTGGCTGAAATACTTTTATTCATCAATTGGCTCATTTAAGACAGTAAATAAATAAATAAATAAAATAATCAGGCTCTATCATAGTACAGTATATCTTAAATAAACAATATTTTTACCATGTGTTGATGATTAATGAATGGCTGTTTCTGGCCAACCACACAACTGTAGCTCCAGGCATGGGACACCATAAGTTTCCAAAAAAGTAGTAACAGCTCCCCTCATACATGTTTCAGACAGCCGCTATACATTGCAGTTTCCATGAAAAACAGGAATTTGGACTTGGATGAGTTGATTTTTTATAGGTCAGAACTTATAGCTCATATAAATTGTGCACACATTCCTCAATGGCACAGGCCTCCCTAATATAAAAACAGATGCAGCCTTGTGTTCCTGTGGTTCATAGAGTGTGTCAGTGTTGGACATTTTATAAAAAAAATATCCTGCAGTGGTTGAAAACAAGCCCTTCTTGCTTCACTAATTCTGTCCCTTTTCCACTCCTGCCCACTTCCCCTTTCCTGCTCTAGTGGTGCAAGCATTACAGCTGGGCACATCTGCCCCTTGTAACCATCTCCAGCATTTCCACTTTGGGAAACAAACACAAAAAACACTGTAGCAGCATTATTGGCAGATAACAGAGCACTTCAATTTGGATTTTTTTCCAGTATTGTCTGGATGCTGTATATCATATTTTTCCAGAGCTTAGGAGTTGGCCAGTAGGGAGAAAGCCTGCCTTGCTGCAGCTGTGACACACCAGATCAGGTTGAATCTCCTAGAGAGGATGGCAGCTGCAGAGTTGGCTCTTCCCCAGGAGCCCTGGAGCCTGCTCAGCACAGGGGGGTTTCTGGAGAGCAGAGCTGGCAGGAGGGTGCTCTGCTCAGTGGGACTGGGCTGGCAGCCAGGTCACACAAGGCATGGAAAGAAAGAGACATTCACAGGACTGCAAGTGGTGGGTTCCATTTCCTCAGCTTGGGAAGGTAATGAAAATTGCTGGATTGACGCTGCTGAAAAAGAAGGGAGAGTTGCACTTCTTATTTTAGAGTGTTTCACTCAGGAGGCCTGATTTTCTCCAATTTTGATCTAGTTTATTAGTTTGGTGTTCTAATTCTGCAAAAGGGCAGTGGCCACAAAATGTTGAGGGGGATCTGAGGGGTCATGGGTAGGTTTGGGCATCACAGACAACTTCCTTCTGGTTCAGCTCTCACAGAAACTGCAGAACAGCCTTGCTGCAGGTCGAGGACCAGTGCCAGTAAATTCAGGTAACCATAAGGCTCCTGTGGCACTGTCCATTGTGTAGTCAATTCAATTTCTGAAATAATACATGTTAAAAGAAGTGGGTGACAAAAGATACCTGCAGTAGAGAGGCTGGCCAAAAAGCAAGCAGGTGAATGAGGAAAGGGTAAAAATACTTGGAGGTGCCACAGACACTGGTTCAAATAGAAAAACAGAGGGAAATGCACAGTTAGTATAGCCCTCCTACAGAGCAATGAGAAAACACCCTGGAGATGCTGTAATACCTTTGGATGTAGTTGGTTTATTTATCTTGTTTGGTTTTATGTTTTCTTCCAAAGAGAGTGTTATTATTTCAGTGGCATCACCCTCTCAGATGTGTGTTCAGGCAGATGCTGGCACACTAGAGCAAGTGTGGATGAAGCCCACCAAGACCATTAAAGTGCTGGAGCATGTGATGTGTGAAGAGCCTTGAGAGAATTGCTTTGCTAAGTCCCAAGAGAAGATTCGAGATGGAGGAGACCTTACTGCTGTCTCTAACTCTGATCAGAGCATACAGAAGACAAGACAGAGCCAGACCATTGTCAAAGGGGTACTGATAGGACAAGTGGCACATATAAAATTCTGATTACAAGGAAACTTTAATTTTTTAACCAGAAAGCTGGCCAAACTCTTGAAGAAGATCCCAGACACTGTGCAACCTTCATCCCTAAAGATATTCAGAACTCATCTGGCAAAGCCATGACTCACCTGGAATAGTTGGATACATTTAAAGCAACATCAGGTTGAAACACTCTCCAGAGACCTCTTCCAACACAATTAATTCTGTGTCTCTATAACCTAACCAATTATCTTCTGGTTTACTTTCCTCAACACCCTTATAATATTGATAGCTTTAGTTACAACAAGGAACTTTTTAGTGTTCCTTGTAAAAAACAACCTCTGAAAAATTTTGTCACTATTATTTTTAAACTCTCGTTGCAGACAAGCTGTCTTGAAATACACAGCTGAACTGGAGAAACAGGAACATAACGATGCTGACCAGCCTTCCTGGCTTGGATATGGCTGGGATGGCAACATAATCACCTTCACCAAAAAACACAGATCAGAGCCTGAAAAAACAAACTCTTCAAAATGAAAAATGAAGAAATTGTGCAGCATCTCTACAGTTCAAGGGTTTTTCTCCAGAGCATGAAAAGACCACTGTGTTATTTTTTCTTAAAACTAATCACTTTAATAAAAGGCTATTTGTTGCATTAGCAAGGAAGCATAGCAAATCTTTCTCACAGGAGTATGAATGCCTTCAAGCAAGACAGCTGCCCTCAGACAGCACTGCTAACTCTCAGATGTTGATTCAAGCTGTCTTCATCTTTCAATAATGAAAGTTTTTGTAGTCCCGTGCAGAGTAAGCACTGAATAAATCTGCATGTGTTGAAAGATTTGTTTGTCATGAAGGTCCACTCCAGGACATAAACACTGACTCCCCAGAGAATTTCACACTTGATGTGGCTGGTACTCATCAAGTACAGTCGTCTTGAGGTGTTGAGAGCAGTGAGTAGGCAGTGCCTACAGATTCTTTAATACACAACTACACCCATACATTTAAGCACAGTTCTCCACTTCCCAACAGTCACTTGTGCACCCAGAGCCCACATTCTCATAAAAGCCTCTTGGGCTGAGTCCACCTCTCTAAACAAGCTGATGTTCGTGTCTGCAGGTCTGGACTGGGGGCTGGCTGGCAGCTGAGAGAGCAGAACCAAATTAAAGGGAGCACAGATGAAAAAAGTGTTAAGAGTATAAATCTGTTCCAGTTACAAGAATGCCTTCTCATCAAATGGACAAAAAAAGATATATGCGCACACAAGGGATTTGCCATTCAAATTCTAATTGCTGATAACCTACTTATCTTCCCTTGTCTAGAGAAAAATACAGTTTCACCTCATTAGAGCAGAACAAGACATTGTTCAATGCCTTTGGGGAAACTCATAAGGAAGGGTTTGCCCTTCTTCAACTCATTCTTGACCTTTATATTAACATCCTAGCTGATCTCAACATGTTTTAGCTTGGAATGAATATAATCAGTAGCTTTAGTGGTAGCACAATTTTTCTGCTGGCTGATTTAAACTTCTTTAAGCAAGTAACTAACAAGTTTGATGTTTAGTTCCTGCTAGATTTAGAAAATGGATGAATTCAAAGTCTGAGTTTCCTTTCTTTTGAATATGGAACAAATAACATGTTTCCTTACTATGTTCTCCCTTAAATTTTTGCTGATGCAGCAGTCTTAAAAAACACAAACTTAATCTCAGAGGCTGACAGGCTTTGTACTTCAGGTGAATAGTGGGATCATTAAATGGATTCAATCTTGTGAAATACCTACTAGACTGTTTTCATGTGGTGTGAATTTTGAGGTGCTTTTTTCACTGTGGCTGCAGCAGGGCATAGAAATCATTAGTTTCAAATATTTTTCTGGATATACAAAACCATTATAATTTATTAATTTTGTAACTTTTAAAAGTATAATAACTCATATCGAATAATATTGTAATACCTTTAGTAATACTATTATAAATGGTTTATATATTAGTGTTTATATTAAAAATACATATAATTTGTCATATGCATCAGTGCCCACCTCATCCCAACAAGCAGTACACACAACAATAAACAGGAGGTGGAATTTTTAACCACCCTGAATTATAGCAGATATGCTGCCCTTGACTCTTGAAGTCCATTAGCCAGGGGCAATTATATCTCCTGGCGAATCCTGTGGCAAAGAAGTTAATTTCATAATGTACCATTATGAGCTAAAGAACACACACATATATACAAAACTTAAAGTCTGAGCTGACAGTCTGAATTCTCTCCTGCTCCTCACCATCCCCTCAGCTGGCAGGAATTCTGACATTTCAGCTTAAAACACAAATTTCACTACTCCTTTTACAAGGTGCCATAGAGATGCATGGAAAGGCTTTTAAAAGCTCCACTTATTTTACTGTGTGCTCATTTTACAGCAACACAGAACCCTCCAGAAAAATCAGAGCTGCCCTTGTGCAGACCTACCTGCTCCCCTCAGCTCTCCTGCCTCCCAGGGCTGCCTGCAGCTTTGCAGGACAGGGCTCTCAGTCACTGCAGATGGAGCAAACACAGAGATTCCAGCTCTCAGCCACAAGGGCAACACTTCCATTCTGTGGCAGCTTCTCCTTCAGGGGAATGCTCAGGTGGACTCCCCTGAAGTCCAGTTGGAGGATGCTCCTCCTTGAAATCAGCCAGATCCATGGTACTTGTATTTATTTTAAAAGCTTTTCTTTGCAGATGAGCAGTGGTAGACAGAGCTGGAGTTCTTTCTAGCCACAAACCAGAGGTACAGGATGACACAGAGCAAGTTCTGCCATTTCACAGAAGTATTTTTATACAGAAAGTACCAATCACCCAGGCAGAAACTGCTCAGGGTTCAAACACCAAATGAAAAGACCACATAAGAACCACACTGAAAGTGATTTTTTCCTATCCATGATACAATTTGGTTGAAGAAAATTCTCTGTGTTTTGCATAAACCAGCAGAATTCCCACAGTATTGAGACATTTAATTTAAAAGTATTAAACAGAGCTTGCAAAGCATGCCATCTTGGAAGTGTTGAAAATGCTTTTTAAAATTTTTAAATGACAATTCCAAGCTTTTGTTTGAAAGCTATCAGCTTTAAAACTGATATGGTAAGTGGGTCAAGTTATATGAATTCTGGATATGTAAGATCATTTTGTTCCTAAAAGGCACTAAAAGAAAACCAGACTGTTTAGCACCAGCACTGTCACAGGCAAATCTTGGGTTAAAATGCTCTCATTTTTAATAGTTTCTCTTTTATATTAAGAATACTCATCCAAAACTTTTCATAATTTTACAGAAATGTTCCTTTGTAGCTTCTTGATTTAATCTCTTTGGCCTATTTCACTTTTAAGAACTCTTCAGCTTGACAGACTGGATCCAGCTTTGGCTTTTAAGACACACTTTGCCATTTTGTGTGTCAGCCTTAATCCATTTGTCTGTTTCATCCCTTTGATTCATGTGACCTGGAAAAGAGAGTTGTCTTAGTTTAATTTGACACACAGCAAACATATCATCTTCACATTGCCATTTTTTCCAAGCTCCCTGGAAGCACTTATAGCACTTTTATTTGGTAGCATTTGTGTACTTTTAGCAGAGACATTTCCTTCTTGATACAGTTTTTTTATATTAATATACTTTCCCATAATTCATCTTTACAATAGAGTAGTGGTTTTTATTATATAGTATTACATTTTTTATTCTAAGCTAAGAAATGTGTTATGGTGGGCTGACCCTGGCTGGCTGTCAGGTACCTACCAAAGACACTCTACCACTCTCCTCCTGCAATAAATAGGCCAGAGAAAATATAACAAGAAGCTCATGGATTAAGATAAGGACAGGGAGAGGTCAGTCAGCAGTTACTGTCACAGGGAAAACAGGTTTGACTTGGGGAAAAAATTAATTTCATTTATTCCAAATCAACTCACAGAAGGATAATAAAAAATAAAGCCAAATCTTGAAAACATATCCCACTCACCCCTCCCTTTGCTCCAGGCTTCATTACACTGCTGATTTCTCTACTTCCTCCCCACCAGAGGCACAGGGGGATGGAGAATGGGGGTTTGGTCAGTTCACACATTATCTCTGCCACTCCTTCCTCTGCAGAAGGAGAGCTCCTGATGCTCTTCCCCTGCTCTGACGTGGAGCCCTGCACAAGCTGCAGGTCAGTCTCTGCCACCCTGCAGACCTCCAGGGGAATCTCTGCTCTGGCCTCTGGAGCACCTCCTGCCCCTGCTTCTGCACTGGCCTCCACACCAGCAGGGCTGTTTCTCTCACATATTGTCACTCCTCTCTCCAGCTGCTGGTGTGCTGGTGTCCAGTGGTGGGTCTACCTTGGAGCAGGTTGCTGCTGGCTCTGCAGGACAAAGGGGAAGCTTCTGGCAGCTTCTCACAGAAGCCACCCCTAGAGCCCCTCCCAGCAACCTTGTCACACAAACCCTACATGTACTGGTTTTCTCTGGGATAGGGTTAATTTTTTAATAGTAGCTAGGATGGACCAACACTGATGAAAACAGTGTTGACAATAATAACAAACTTTGTTATTTCTGAGTGGCCCTTTCAGAGCATCAAGACCTTTTCTTATTCTATTGCCCTGCCAGTGAGGAGGCTGGGGGTGCACAATAAGCTGGGAGGGGACAGAGCCAGGACAGCTGACCCCAAATGACCAAAGGGATGTTCTGAATTGTATGGTGCCATGTTCTGTATCAGAGCTGGCAGAAGGAGGAGCAGGGGACATTCAGAGTGACCGCATTTGTCTGACCCAGTACCTGTTACATGAGATACAGTCCTGCTTTCCTGGGGATGGCTGAACACCTGCCTGCCCTGGGAAGTAGTGAAAGAATCCCTTCTTTTGCTTGGCTTGTGTGCACAGCTTTTGCTTTTACCCAAACTGTCTTAATCTCAAAGTCTGTTTATCCCAACCATGACTTTTCTCACTTTTCTGCTTGTCTCCCCCATGGGGAGTGAGTGGTGACCTGGTGCTCAATAGCCAGTCCTGGTTAAACCATGACTCTACATGAGATACTAATCTGCATAAAAAATTTCAAAGATTTTAACAGACATGGTAAGACCTGATTATCCAGATGCCTGGACATTTTGCTACTATTACCGTTTCCTTATGATAATGGCCTAAAAAAACCCCCACAGCCCTGAGGTATCTGTCTTCTTACAGGTTTCACATAAACTTCATATTCACAGTCATGCTCTGAAAAGCTCACTGTATGACAAAGAAGAGAGTTCAACTCAGTCTCATTTTATAACTAAGAAACTGAGGCCAAAAGAGAATAAGTGACCTTCCAAATTTATACAAAAGATTTGTGTCCATATTGGGAATTAAACTGGGATCTTTAAAGTCCCAAATCAGTGTCCTTATCACAAGATCAACCTTCACTTTGGTTTATCTTTGCAAAGTATAATTTATTATTGCTTTGGTGTTCATTTATCTGTGTGAATTCTAAGATTAGAATAATTTGAGCCTGGAATAGCAAGAGGGATGGCAGGGAAGCAGATTCTGAACCAATTTTGCAAACATGCTCTGCTCTGCTCTGACCTGTAACACAGCTGAAATTAAATTTTGGCCACAGCAGAAACAGTGGCAAAACTCCAACTGACATCACTGCGTTGGTTTCCACAACTCAGGCCTATGTGCCAGAACCTTTCAATAGTGTTTCAGTGCTTTAGCAGCTCTAAGTGGGACTCATTTAAGTTTATGGGACAAGCCCACAGCAATTCACAACAGGCTGAGTATGGTTTGGAAGTACAGAGCTCTCAGAGGAGTCCAACAATGTCAGAGTCACTTCAGTGTCCCTTATCAGACTACAATGTGCCTTCAGGTGTCTCCAGGGGATGTCTTAGTACAATTTCTGCACTCCTCATTGCTCCAGACAGCAGCAGTCTCAACCACACTCAGTGTCAGTATCATGACATTCTGCCTACAGTAAAGCAGAATCCACAGACCTCTACTCATCATCTGATTGCAGACTTAAATCTGTGATGAATCACCAACTTGGACTAATGTGTTGTATATGGAATCCATTAAAATTTGAAAGTTCAGTTCCTCAAAGCTTTCCTGAATCACTGATTTTCAATAATATTGTATCAGAGAGTATAGAACAAAAACTAAAGCAGAATCTGTCTTTTAAGCACAGATAGCACTTAAAGCATTTCATCAGTCTGCTTTTTAAACAGGAAACAGCCTCCAGGTGACAAGAAATTGAGCAAACAAAGTAGTATAAAGGAAAATTTCAGCTGATCCTTTACCAGAGCTATAGAGCACTAAAAATACCATTTATTCTCCTAGGGAGAGAGGATACAATAAATGCAGGGCAGAGATATATTTCCAGAAAGAGTATATTGGAGTGCTTTTTCCCAGTTCCTCTCCCTCCTGCTTTTGTGACTATGGCTTGTACTTCTGTACAAGAAACAAACACTGGAGCACAGAACCAGTGTTGTAAATGGTTTCATGCACTGCTTACACCTTGGCAAAAAAAGTTAAAGAAGAGTTTAGGGAACACAGGAATAAATTTACAAGTGCCATTTTAAAGTTGAGTTTCTGTCCGAGCTCTGTTTCTCATTTTGTTTTTGCTATGTGAACGTAGAAAAAAGTTTTTTTCCTTATACTTCTGGAAATTTGCCTGTGAGGCAAATATTAAGGTTATTAAGCCCATCACTAGTAGGAGGTTCAAAGTTATTTCCTATATTTCAGTAGCTTTGTGTATGAGGCACTAAGCAAGCAACAAAGTTCAGTTGGAGACCTTTTGATGACCACTTGGGTCTTAACTGTACTCACTGCCTGTACTCTGAATACCAGGAGAACCTACGTGGATTTTGAGGAAGTCTTTACTAGCTTGATTAAATCACAAAAGCAAACAGCCTCCTGGACTGAGAATGGGGTGGGGTGGGGGGCAAGAATTAATTTCAAAATCTACCAGTCAAGACAGCAGCACGAGTTCAGGAGAAGACAGATACACTATTTGGCTGCGTACACCTTTCAATTTAAAGCCCTGGAAAAAGGTTGTGTATTTATCTCCACCCCAATGTGGTGTTTAAAGGAAGGTAACACCTTTGCAAAACGTTACAGTCAAGTACTGACTGTTTATTTACTTGTCTTCCTGGAGACTGGAGAAGTTGAGAGCTCTATTTTCATACCACAAAACACAAGAAGAGGATCATATTTTAAGTGTTGTTCATTGGTAGCGTTAGGACTGTGGTATACATCAAAAGGTTGTGAACAGCTTGAGTTGAATGCAAGCTGAAACCAATAAAAATCTGTAGGATAGCATCTCATCTAATGTGTTTAATAAAAGTTGGATGAACTTTCTCTTTGACTCACAAGAATGTAATCTTTTCCAGATACAACCTGGGTCTTTGTTTATTTTTTTTCAAGATATTGCTTAAGGATCAAGGCTTCACAGAGGGCAGTGTGTAGAGGGACATTATAAAACAAAGCTCTTCCCACTCAATTCTAGTGGCCAAGAGTCAATAAAAACTGCTTCTAAGAAAGAAGGAAAGTTCTGAATGCCTTGAGAACAGACTAAACAGGGGGGGCATGACAGCAGATAGTGTTACTCCTGGGATCAGAACCGCAATGCTGACTGCACCAAACCCCAGACAGCTGGACAGTGGGAGCACTTGTGCAGCTGGTAAGCTTCAGATAAAATCTGAAGTTTCAGCAGACTGACAATACAAGCTCTTTCAGTTATTTCCCTTTTAAAGGCAAGTTGCTGGTCTCATGTTATTCACTGTCCCTTCAGCTGCGTTTGTATTCAACCCTTGAACTCCAGGCAGCTAAACACAGACATTACCTTGGAGTAAACAATATAGAATTTCTCATAATGAAGACTCTTAAACACATAAAGCTTTGTGCATAGTACAAGAGTCATGCAGTCAGCCCCCTCTGACACAATGGCCTTAAAGCATTCCTAAAGGGAAGGCCACAGCATTCCATAGGCTGCTCTGCCAGCACTACTGTATGAGGGACCACTGAGTGAACAGTGAGAAGTAATTATTCCTGATGGCAGGAAACATCTGTCTACATCCCCTTTGCTCCAGCAGGGAACATCAGGCAGATGTGAAAGTTGTAATATTTCAGTGTATGCCTGAGTGAATGATTGTTGTAAGGAGAAAGGTACCTCTCACCACAATCTATGGGGAGAACCAGGCAGGATGAGAAGACCTGAAGCATGTCAGTAAGAGAAACCTGTAAAGTCAGAGCTAGGACAGAAGTGACAATGCCCATCTTTTCAAAGGAATCTGGTAATTACAGACAGACTGACTCTCCAGAGGCACAGGAAGAAGGCCAGCTAAGAAGTTCTGCAGTATTAAAAGAATAATTGGATACTTGATCAACCCAGAAGGTAGAGGCAATGTGAAAATTTTCACAGGGGAAAAGGAATTAGAGAAGTCAGTGGGGGATCTCCTCTGCATGTCCCGTATTCACCTCTAAGGGAAGCATGAATTAACATGGGAGAGTCCTATTACCTGCATGGTCACCAGAGCCGTGGCTCAGAGCAACACTGCTCTCAGGTGGCTTAGCAAAGCTCTTGTGCTGTGGCCAGGATAGGATTAGTACCAAAACCTAAAAGTCCTGTTAACTGCTGCAATTGTTGTCATGCTGACAACTACTGGGAGCAAGTATGTCTCAACTTGGGAGAAAACCATAACTCCCAAAGCATATGCTCCTCGTGTAAGAAGGTTTGCCAGCTGAGAAGGTAAAACGAGGGACACAGAGTAACAACAACAAACATCCACAGCCTCTGAGGAGCACCTGAGACACAGTGGAACTTTTACCATGGTAAAACTCACACCGCTGCTGCAAACCAGATAAAGTGCCTGTGAAGTTAAAAGATTCCTCAGCACCAAGCAGATGGCATCAGGTGAAAGGTTGCCACTGGATATGACCTTGGCACTAGAACTGGGGCAGGGATGGAGAAACATCCAAAATCAGGTGAGTCCCTGGCATCACTCAGAGATGAGATTTACATGGTTTATTTTCCAGACAATTAGGTTTGGAAATTGACACCGTTTTCTACAAGGATTCAAATAAGTCCCTGAATGACTGCAAGACTTTTTCCAGCAAGTTCACTGTGGTCAACACAGAAGTTGGCAGCCAAAGTGGCTGAAGTGTGTCCAGTGTCTGCATTTCATTCAGTCCCCATCCACCCACATGCCTGGTAACCTTCCTTTGTTACTGTGGAGGGAGTGGGAGCAGATGGTCACATCAAGCTGAGACAAGGGAAAACAGGGCTGAAAGCCTCTCCTGGGGCAGCACTGAATTTGGTCTGAGATGCTCACATCACCTGGTCTCAAAACCTGCAGTACTGACAGTCCTACTGCCCCCCAGACAAGCGCTACAAGGAAGTTTACCTTGCTATTCAGCTAAGTTTCCTTTACCATAAGTTATAATTTTTAGTCCTATTGCCAGTTGACAGACAATTTCTTTCCTTATTTCTCTGTAGCAGCTTCTTATGTACTAGAAAAATGCACCTTCTTTTCCCTTTGTCTTCTCTTTTGAGACAAAACCAGAGCTTTGCAGTCTTCTCTTGTTAATCATGATTTCAGGACTCCGATCACATGTTCTCCTTTAGAGACTCTACAGTTTGGAAGCACAGTACTCAAAACTGGACACATTCCAGCAATGTATTACTAATGCCATGTAAAGCCAAAGGATTATTTTGAGTTTTACAGAACAATCATGTTAATATGCTGTTTGTTTTCCATGGTGTAACACTACTGTTTCATGATATTATTTAAATATTGCTCCTCTTGGGATTACACAGGTAATTGTTCCTACCTTTGTACTTAGAACTTAACTTACTAGAAAATGGCCTAAAAAGCAAGTAAATCAAAACGATATGAACTTTAACCTTGACCTTCAACATGTTTACAACTCCTTTGACATGAGTCTTCTAAGTTAATTTTCTGTTTAAATATTTAACACTTTTACCCTGCCACTCTTTCTCTTACTACATGTAGTACCTACAGCTAATTACCTCCACAGGCATAAGATTTAAGAACACAGGCACACCTGGAGACAGGGAGAAGGCAGACATTGAGCAGGAAGGGCTTCTCTTCTTGCCAGGGAAAAGAAAGAACAACTTGACATGATTACAATCAGAAATTGCTAGAACTACTCAAGCACTCTAAAGGCAGCCAAACAGTTCCACTGATGGAAGCTGGACCAGTGCTTAGCATGAACTCTTTTTGTAACATTTCATTATACCATACATACTGCTTTCAAGACTACCTACTGATGCCAATGGAAACAGAGGCCTTGCCCCTTGCAAGTTACTTCAAAGAATAAAAACTCCCTGTCACTGCTCCCTAGTTCCCTCCCTTTCTCAGCAATTTTGCAGCAAAGTCCCCGTTTCCTAAAAGAACAAACCCATTTCCACACTCTCATCCCTCTGTCTCTAGAGCATTCACTCCAGACTTCCATCACCTTGCTTTCACTAAATCCCACTCTATTCCTTGGCTGGCTGGCAAAACCCTGGAGGTGAGTGCTTGTGGGGCTGTGCTGTGCTGACCCCCTCATGGTGTACATGAGAACTGCTCTGAAGCAGGAGGGAAGGCTTTCCTAGAGCAGGGAAGTGCAGGAATAAGTGCATGTTTACCCAAGTCACAGAACTCTGCCCTGTCTTCCCACTGGACAGCCTTCTCCCTAATACATTCAAATATTCCCAGAGGCAAGTAAAGCTTCCTAAAAGGTTACAGTGCCTGTGTTATTCACATGAGAACTGGATTTTCTGAAAAATCATCTGTTTTTAAACTAATCTTTGAACTCATAAGCATGAAACTCCTAAACTGCCAGGCTCTTGTGATTCAGTTTTTAACCACTTGGCAAAGCCCCTCTTCACTCTCTATTTTACATTTCTTCAGTCACAACAGCAGGACAGCCATGGACCTTGCACCTGATACTTCAAGAGTGAATAATGCTCCCAGGATACAGAAATTGTATTAAATGATTTTCAATTATTTGAAATCTAGTTATACAAGAAAATTACCAAATATCACCTTTAGGAAGAAGCAATTGTTGATAGTAAGGGGGCAAGTGCAGGAAGAATACACCATAAGGAAAAGAGAAATAGAAGGAGGAAGCATTTCCCTTTTTATATAATGCTGTAACTTCTTTAAACAACTGATAATCATCAGCCTAATGCTGTTGCCTTTGCACAATTCTTGATGATTTCTGTGCCTTTGGGACGTGTATATTTGAGAGTTAACTAATCAGAGTTCCTGCTTTTGGCCTCAAGTGCCAAGATCATTTCCATACAGAACAGTGGGTTGAAAAATTGCATCTGCTTCAGTGATGAGTGTCCCACACAAACACTGACTGGGTTGTGAAACCAGAGAAGTCATTCAGCTGTGTATATTTGAAACACCACTCTTATCTTTAGTGTTGCCAAAGCAGTAAGATGATTGATTGGCTGGTGGTCCTCGTTCACTGGGAAGAAGTGAATTGTTGTTTTACTGCTGAGGTGATTCATTACACTGAGTCTCGTTAGAATCTGGGGATCCTTCCACAGATTTCTAGCCTGACAACCTCTAATTATGGTTTTTGTAGAAACTGTATTTAATAACCACTACTAAATTTAAGTGCTAGTTACTGTTCCTAGGCAGGAAGAGATATATAAGCAGGCTACATACTAAAATTATACAATTACACTTCCAAGGTTTTCCTGACTCTGAGTTCCCATCTTACATGGGGGAGGAAAAGAGTTTTTGTACATATTTTCTTAGGCTTAAAACTCAAAGCCTTACCCCATCTGCTATCCGAGCAGGTCACACTGACATAACACATTCAAACATAGAGCTGGAGCCCTCAGACACACCAAGTTAATGTTTTCTCTAGAGCAAACTGTAATTGGTGAAAGCAACAGCCTTAACTTCTAGATAGCCACATCTGGAGTGGGGGAGAGAAATACAGCCCCTGACAGGGAATTGTACAACTGTTTTCTAAAGCAGGAAACAGGAAGACCTGGGATTCTAAGTTCTGTTTTAAATGCCTTACAAGAATACCTGCAGTAACAGCAAGTACCTTTCCATGTACTCTCTCTCTCTCTATTCCTCCAGCTCCCGCTTCTTCTGCTCTTCTCATCTCCCATCCAACATTTCTCAGCCTATCCTGCACTACTGTACATTTATAAATATGCCATATACCCCTTTTATTCCCCACTTTGTCTCAGAAACAGACAGATTTATTTTTTATTATTGCATTTTTAATATAATAGATTGCCTAGGAAAGTCTATGTGACTTTCTAAGCCAACAAAGCAATGGGTCAAATTCAGCTCTGGATTATCTCCCACAGATCCCCTGGACTAACACTAAGGAGAAGTTTGGCTCTAAGCCTTTTGTTAGAAGAAGTTGATTATATTCACAAGTCATGTGAATGTAAAAATAAAATTTTGAAGCCATCCAGTAACATGGGGAGTACAACAGCACAAGCAAACATCTGAATGTGAAGCAGATTAAACAAGCAGCTGCCAAGGGCAATAAACTAATAAAGAAATGTAGATGCCTTTGACTTAGGCCAGACAGACATTTATTGGAAGCCAAGATTAGTAAGCCTTACCACTTAGAGTTACGTGATCATCTTTGGAGGCACTCTGTGTTTCTTTTAACTGGATCTCTGAGCTCACATCCACTTTTCTTCCAGACAGCTCTAAATAGGCTTTGAGAGATGCAGGTACCTTGACTGTAATTGAACCTGGTAGAAATTTAAGTGAAAGCTAGTTAGTTTAACCCTGAGATCAAAGCATGAAATAGTCCATTATTTCACTAACTTGAATCAAATCATCACTTGGTTGTACTTGGTTGGGTTTTTTAAAAAGTCTTCAGAAACAGTAACCTCTTTTTTTTTGGTCACTGAAAGGATAAATGAAAGTATCTTCATTTATCATAAACACAGTATGTCACATATAGAAAATGATATTACAGAATTTCCTTCATATACATGAAAATAAATAGTGACATACACTTCTAGCAATGCCTTGGTAGAGGATCTTATTACAGGAATGATCAAGGGAAGCAAATATAATAGATCTCACATTATGACTTTAAGTCATCTTATCATGACTTTAAGTCATCTTCGAGTTTTATATTGACATTCCAGAGCAAGGACAGGGCATCAGACTTGACAAATAACCCAGTCACTGCGTGGCACACGATGGAAGAATTGCTCCTCTGGAAGGATGAGCTGCTGCTCACTTACTGTGAACACTGGCAATTGTCTTTGCTTTACTGCTTAGGGCAGCTGTTCACATCCTCCAACAGATGCAGTCTCAAAACTCATTTACCAGTTTAGACTATGCATCACTAAAATGTAAACTAGTAGCAAAATTGCAGCTTTGGTGGCCTGAATAATTCTACTTTGAGATTAAACCCAGAAATTCTGACTGCTGCTTCCCCTAAATATGTGCATCTATGCATCAGACCAAAGGCAGACACTGGGCCCCCAACCTGCCCACATTAGTCATCTTTGGAATAACTCAGTCACAAAGGCTGGAAGCTCTCTCCTACACATTAGATCAAAAACCTGAAAAATTCAGAATACGCTTCCTTTTTATGTGCTCCTTAGTTTTTGCTCAATTTCAACATTTAGAAAAACATAAAACAGTTTCTTGACATACATCCCAGAAGCTTCAGCAGAACATGGTAAGAATAACAGCTAAGAAGCACCAGAAAGCAACCCTGGCTAAGCAATTTAAACACAGCAGAACCACTTGCCTGTGACAGTTCTGATGAACAAATAACTTCCAGTATAATTTAGGCCTGCTTTTTGCTGGATACACAAAAGCCTTAGAATAAGCAAGGGAAAAGGTCTTCATCTTTGGGTCCTCTTTGGAGAGTTGCTCAGTGATGACTCATAAAAACCGACACACATGCAGCTCATTTATCACAAGTGGGACATTTTCTACACTGCAGCTGTCAGCAGTTATTCTGAATTTACAGGGTAAACAGAAACAGAACTTCAACTTTGCCTTTACTAAACTGTGCTGCCAGAAGAGATGTTAGAAAATATTTTGAAAATAACATTAATTAGCTTTTATTAAATACATTCCTCTTTTCTTCTAGCTCAGAGAGAGACATTAACTTAGCAAAATAAGTGACACTAAAGGTAACCAAGAAATAACATAAACTTCTTTGCACTAATGAAGCCAAAATAGATTGTACAGAAGGATGCACAAATTGCTTCAAATCATTGACACCACGAGTCCCATTTTGAGTAACCATTAGGTTTTAACAGGGCACAGGCTTTGCTTCACAGGAGACAGAAGTGGACCAAATACCACACTTGAATTAACCAGCTGAAGTGTCTGACATGACATTAAAATCAAGAATAGAAATGCTGCAGTGTTGTTTTGGCTTGTTTTGGATTTTTTTTTTGTTTGCATTTTAGGTTTTTTGGTGTTTTTTTTCCCCAAACTAGGATTAACAAGATGTATTCAGGGCTCTGTAATTTACAGCATCATTATCTTTAGAATGGCAAAACTATGAATTCAACTTTAGGTGTGAGCTTTTAAGAAGAGAAATGTTAGTGAGTAAGCAGGAGAGAAAATGAAAGGAAAATGGTAATGTAAGGCTCTCCCATCTTTGTTTTTCTGCCTTCAAATGTTCATAATAGGACAGTTCAGTCAGAAGGCAAGAAAAACAAATGTATGTGTGTCAGTTATCACTGCACATACAGCATCATGGAGAAAACTGTGCTCAAGGCAAAGGAACACTGTAACCCCAGTCAATTCTGCAGAATTCTGCTGGGCATATTTCCAGAAAAAAAAATAAAAACATTGAAAAACACAAACATATTTAATCCATCTTAAGTATTCTTGTCCCTTACAGAGCTTATTGTATTTTAAGTATTTATAGACATCTTCCAATAATGATACAAAAAAAAAATAAATAACCAATAATCACCAACTATTTTTTACAGACAGATAAAAAAGCCCCAAAACAAACCCTTATCTCCTTTTCTTTTACACCAAAACCCACCAGAAAAAATATTTTATTTAGTTTGCTAACCTTTCTGGGATTTCAGATCCACTTTCCTTAATTGACTGACATAAACATCTATTGTCCCATGATATGTAGAAGCTTTTAGACTTCCATCTGACGAATCTAAAAAAACAAAAGAAAAGAACTTGTGTATCATTCACTCTTTTTAAGTAAACATTTGCTAGAATCTTTCTTCATACCTCAAATTGATTTTTATCAATTCTTCTGTGTTTGAGTAATATTTACAAACTGTCAGCCCTCACTTAGGACTTTTTCAGAAAGCTGTTATTCCATCTCCCCACTCCAGAACTGGGGCACACTCTGCTCCTCAGGCTGCTGCTCTGCAGTTGTTCTACAAGGGCCCAAATGCAGAGCACATCTTTCTACAGGAATGTCTTTATCTCTGTGTGAAAATCAAGCATGAAACTTGAATACTAAGATCTCTTTTAGTTCCCAAAAGAGTTCATTTGCTCAGACCCTGTGCAGGGAGAACTTGACCCAGGCAAGCTGCCCCATGCAGGAACCAAGCAGCTGCTCACTGCAACTCTTGTTACACAGAACAACTGAACACAGCCTTTGTAAAGGCTGATTCACTACATCTGATTTATCAACTGTTTAATATGTTTATCAATCTGTTTAATATGTGCAGGAAAACAGCATTTCTTCTGTGTCCTGGAATAGAGGCCTAAATTTTCTTTTATACCTTATTAGCAGAAATTTTTGATCATAAAACTTTGCAAAGCATTTTTACAAACAAAGTCTTTAAGAAGCTTTAAGTGTACACTTGAGTAGTCTCTATTTCAACGTATTCCAATTTTAAATACATGGACTTCCACAATATTAAGTGAAATCCCAAAGAGTTTACTTTCAAACTACTGAACAAGCTTATACCTCATAAAAATTGCAAAGCAATTATTAAAAAACCTAGAGGAGCATAAAAAAATTACCTTGGTACATGAACAAAAGGCAGTTACTGAGAGGTATTTTTAGAGACAATGCTAGAAATTAAAATATTGGCAAGAAATCCCAAGATACTGATAGAGACTGGTTTCTGAATATGCATAGAAAAAACCCACCAGTCAAACTTTTAGAAGCAGCTAAAAAAAACAAACTTGAATGAAACTTCCCATTTTAAAAAGTAAAAGCATTAATGAAAGAATGAATTTGATTAATTAACAAGGATGTCTCATATTAATGTTTTATGCTTGCCATACAGTTTTAGCTCTAAGTAAACTCATCTGGAGCTTTTCTGATCCCAGATTTCAAGCACAGATGCCAAAAATCAGTGCATTGCTTACAACAGCAAAAACACAGAAAAAATCTTTATCTCAAAGTTGATTTCTTTGGAGGGGAAAGTAATCAAAAAAAACCTCAGCTAATCCATACTTAGTCAGCTGAGAAACTGAGAAGGGCTTTGGCTGAAAAGAAAACATTAATAACTAGAACTGGATGTGAATGCTTCTGCCATTTCAAGACTGTACTAAAGAAGGTCTGTTTGAAATCTGAAAAAAGAAAATTAACTCTTCATTAATAATGAAGAGTTTTGCTTGTCTAAGTGAAAATGAAATATTGATTTTAACTGATGATTTTTTAGAAGGTTTTTCATAATAGTTGAAAAGTTAAAGTCATTAGAACTGGAAAATTTGACATGCATCAACCATTTTAATGCACTTTTTAAGCAGTGATCACTGGAAATGGATATTCCCCATCAAATTTAGTAACAGCCAATTACTGACTCCACATAACCTTGACAGAGATTTTGCTGGCAACAGATACAGGAAACATCCAGCCTTTGACTCCTCTGCTTCAAGCAGAAGCTATAATAAGTTCCTTGATCTATTCTGGGAAGGAAGAAGAGTCTCCTGTGACAGGACAGCAGCTCTCTCCAGGGACAGCCACAAAGAGTGCACACACCACCAGCTGATGGTGCTTCAGAGGGACACCATTCATCCACTGAAGCCTCTCTCTTCCCACTTCTCAAATGCAAAAGCAGCTCCTGTGAGATTCTTCCCAGTGGCAAGATAACTTTTGTGAATCTGCAAGACTGAACCAAGTGTTCTTTCCTAGGCCTTCAGTTAATAAATATTAAAATAAAAAGAATTCTTGTTTTGTGAGAGACTGGATTGTGTTGGCAGAAGGCATCAACACGAATAAAGGATGCAGGAGGAGGGCAGGAGGGACAGGCTCACCAGGGCACAGATTTACCAGGCAAGCCAAAACCAACCCTGAGGGAAATGGAACACTTTTCCATTGAGGAACGCTGTTTTGGGAGGATGACTTGCCAGATTTTGACTCCCAGAGTACCTCACTAATACAAAGTTTCCTATGGCTGAAGAAACTTCAGCAGAGTTTCAAAACCACCAAGGAGCTTGGCAGCACGAACCAAACACTAAACCTGACACTACAAAACTGTACAGTAAACAACCTATGGAAGTAACATGAAATATATTTTATGGGAAAAAATGAATATGATTTATGTAATGGATGTTACAGATGTGATACTAAAGTGTAGGCACAATTAAGAATACCAAGAAACATGGAATTGTTCATCACTTCTGCCAAGTCCATCAAGATGCTGTTTTAAGTTTGTGTCTCTAACTCTTAACAAATAAAGGGGAATAAAAGGAAGATGGATTAAAGAAACCAAAATAAAACTAAAATGAGGCACAAAAGAGTTCCCAAATCGAAATAAATATTTCAACAATGAAAAATGACTCCATACTAAGAAGCACAGGCTGATAGCATAAAATACATAACAAATAGTAATGGAGACAATACATATTTTATGGTTATGACATATCAAACCTAAGGCAATTTATTTTCAAATATATACCCAGTGCTGAATGTGAATAATTGAAGGTAAAAATAAGGAAAAAATGTGTAGTTTGAATTCTAACAGGGAAAAGGTTTTCTCCAGGTTTTTCAAGGGGGAGAACAAGGACAAATCCTTTTACTAGAAATGGAACAGATGGTCAGTCTTGTGCAGCTTTAGCTATTTAAGAATTTACTGGTACTAGAGAAAAAAGATGAAAAAAAAAAGGGCACAGTGAAGCAAGGTGTCCTTGGAAGGACAAAAGTCTTTATTAAGTTTTATGGAAATAAATAGAGCTTGAAGAATAAAACCTAAGTCACATAACTTGAGAAATACTGCACAAAAAAGTGAAAGGCCTACAAGGGTAACATTTAGCATCACTTCTCCCTTCACTGTATCAGCCAAGCACTAAGAAAAGGACTCAACACAAGTGATCTTTACTTAGATCTAAGCAAAACATGCTTTTCCTAATAGCACCTAAAGACTGATCTAGCTCATGGTAAAATCAGTGACAAAAATCAATCTGTATAGAAACACAAAATATTTATTATGATTTTATTACAGATTGGAGGAGGCAGGAAATTCCAAGGTATGTAAAGTGTGATGAAGATCGAATTTCTGCTTGGCTAGCTATCTACTATTTTTTATTGATAGAAAATGGGCAAATATTCTTGGTTTAGTTGATTGTTCTAAAACTGTCATCTGAAAAGTACTAGAAGAAACTGAAATTTATTCACTAAATAGACTTCACTATTATTTGTTACTTAGAATTCACTAAATTGCACATATTACTGAAAAATCCTTAGCAGTCCTGACCATACTCACAATGGGACCTGGCAGAACGAATGATGTAACATACAAAGCAAAGAAATCTCTCAAGAAAACAATTCCTTTCCTAACTAAATTATCCAGACTATCCCTTTACCTATTAATGATCTATTTTCTATCCCAATTTCAAATTATATCCATTAGTTGTAAAGGCCATAGTCTCTTTATAATAAATTACTCTGCTCCAAAAAGCCCAAACAACCAATCCACCTGGCTTGCCTGGTTTGGAGAAAAGGAAGCTGGGGGTGACCTCACTGCTCTCTGCAGCTTCCTGGGGAGGGGAAGGGCACAAGGAGGTGCTGAGCTTTTCTCCCTGGTGTCCAGTCAAACCTTGCATGGGAATGCTTCTTTTTTAGGAAGAATTTTTTTACAGAGAGAGTGGTCAAACACTGGAGCAGGGTTCCCAGAGAGGCTTGTGCCCCAAGCCTGTTAGTGTTTAAGAGCCCCTAAACAACACACTCCAACTCTTGGCCAGGCTGTTGGACTGGATGATTCCTTCCACCTGAAATAAGGGATAAGGCCTTCAGCAAACTGGTCGAGTAGGAGGTGTTCTCACATTTTCAGAGTTGCAAGTCTGGATCTTCAAAGTCTTTTACCTTTAGAAAAATCCATAAAAATACCAGGGACGTTTAGTGCTCTTTAGGAAAAGATGAAGTCTATCCAGTATTGGATAGACTGATAGAATTGAAATCTGTCAGAACTGAAATCTGAAAAATAATGTTTCTCCAACAGTAAGAATGTCTCAATGCTGAAGCTGAACCTGGTTAGTTAAGGAAAATAATCATCATCTGTTGATGGAAAAAGCTACCTCCTATATTAAGAAACCTTTATTTAAACAGTCTTCATACCCTATGAGTTTATTTAAGAGAAGGAAAAACAGTTGAATTTAATTCTGTGGTTTAATGACTAACTCATAAGAATGTGTCTTGCATTCATTTTCCAGGAATGTTAATATAGAGCTCTTAGAAACATAAGAAGAGTTGTTAACAGTCCCTGAACACATCTTAGAGATGGTCCCTGAAACATGCTTAGTGAGTGACTACACAGCATCAGCAGAAGTCTTCAAGGTCTGGACCTGAGGAAACCTTTCTACATTCACAAGACACATTGAGCCTTCAATTTTCTAACATAACAATATTTAGAACTTGAGTTTCTCACTTTGGTGTTTGTGTGCTATAAAATGCTCCGATATAAGGTATACCATAACTGATAGCTCTGAGTTGTCCTGTCATATAAATTCCCAGGTTCTCAGTAAAAGGTTTATGAGCTGTTTTCGTTTCTGAAGGGAAAACTATTGGCATAATAGTTTGAAAACACTGAAATTATCACAAGCCTTCCCATCACCTCCCCAAACAGGTAATACATCAATGATTAGCCTCCTGATATGAAAATTAAACATAGCTAATCACTGATAGCAATAAGAGATCTACAGTAAGGGCACAGCTGCATTTGATGTAGACTTAAGAATTTTCTCAGTCCTTTTACCCCATCTATATCTAGAAGATGACAGCTAGACTCAGTCTCACTTGTGCAAAGTCCAGTGAGATCATGTGCCTTGCCCAACCACAAAAGGCTGAGTTTGGAAAGGGTCTTATTCAGCCACACTTATCAGTGCTACTCCTGAAAAGGAGGCAAAAACATCTGTGTGAAATCACCTCCTTTTTACTTCCCCTGTGAATATTTAGCCTTTAGAGAGAATGGAAGAGCAAGAGAGAAAGAGAAGGCAGAACCTACCTACTGTGATACTCCCTCTTTTGGTCTGAAGGTTGGTATTACCTATAATGAAAAGGGGAAAAATGTTAAAAACATATTATTGAAACACATTATTTATTCATTATTAATATTGTTGCTTTACAAACAGAAGTCTCAACACATGTGGGTAACAATAAGTGATTCCAGATAGGAAAAACATTGAGTAAATTCAAAGACACCACCTGGATCTGAGGGAGAAAAAAATGTAGAGAGGCATGTGCAAGGCTAATGCACAATATTGTCTTAGTTTACTTTGGGCATTTTTTTGTGAATTGCTCTGATGCCTGCAACAGCACTTCAAATTATTTAAGTTCAATTGCATGAATAACATGCAATTTATTATTAATTATTTTATTATTTATTAACATGCAAACAGCTTCTATTTTCCTCTTTTATATACCGATACCCCATCTCTGCTGGAGTGAATCTCGTGCTATTTGCAAAGGCAACTTCCTGAACACTTCCTACTCCCTCCCAACTTATTCTTGTGTATGAAAAACCCTTGTCAACATTTCCATTGACTTCAGTTGGAGTATGTTGGACAAAGTGGAGAACATCAAACAAAGTGTGAAAAGCACAAAATGTAGAATGGCCTTCTACTGAACTTGTATCACTTTAAACAGGCACAGGTGTTCCAGCCTTAAAATTTCAAAATACTTATTCTGCCCTTTCACCTACAACATCAAGAGCATCTGGAAGGACAGATGTACTTTGTAACAGAAGAGACATCTATACTACTAACAGTCTAACTAAATTGCAGAAACTTCTACACTTCCATGCATCAATGTGTCACAGAAAATGCTGTAAATTAAAAACTAAACCACACCATGTCATCCCTGCCATTCTCTCATCCTCCCAAGAGAAAGAATGAAGACTAAGGCTGAACACAAAAACTGAGTGCAGTTTAGTAATACACAGTAGCCATAATTTCCAGCTCTTTCAGGAGAGATTTTAAAAATTGCAGATGGATTAAGCTCTACCCTATCTTGTGTAATTACACAGTAGCAAACAACCATTAGGGCAGAGAGCATTCCACTGCATATGACCTGTATTTTTCTTAGTGGTTCATGGGCTGAAAGCTAGAAAAGCAGCCTATCATCAACAGTCTTAAATTCATCTTTTCAAGTACATACTGTACAAAATACTTTGGAGTTCTGAAACTCAAACAGAAACAAAAGCATTTTTCAATGACCTTGAAAGATGCTTGGCTTTACTCTTTGTTGTTTTTAAAGGCATGCTATAATTATCCCATCCTTTTCCTCATTTTATCATGACTGGCACTTGGTTTGGTACAACCTACAAAGAGACCTGGGGTTTTGTCAGCCAGCAGTCCCATGGAGCAGCTGAAGGTAGATCATATTCTGTCAACATATAGCCCCTGGGTCTGTTCTTTGTTTTTCTGGGGGTTTTCCTTCCTGTTCTGGTAAGCAGATCCTTGAAAAATATTCACGGTGTAGAATCAAACTCCATTTAGATACATACTGATATGGCAGAATCACCAATGCTGCACAATGACAGCACATTCTGTGAGGCTGCACTTGGAATATTGTGTCCAGTTTTGTGCTTTCAAGTCAAGAATGACACTGGTGTACTTAACTAAGGCCAGAGAAGATCAGGGACCCAGAAGAAGCTAGAGATGCTCTGAGAGCACGTTTGTTTTGCTTTAAAAGGAGAAGGCTGAGGAGAAGTCTTCTTGTGGCCTTCAACTACCTAATGGGAGGGTATAGAGAAAAAAAACATTCTTCTCATGATAATGCAACAAGAAGCAAGAAGTAGCAATAATGGATACAAATAATAATGGAAATTATGATTAAAAAAGGTTTTTTCCCTACCAGAAAAATAATTCAGGAGTGGACCAAGATGTCCAGAAAGGTCATACAAACTCTGGACTTGAAAATACTCAAAGCTCACCTAGACAAAGCCTTGAGCAAGCTTGGTCTAACTGAGCCTACTTTAAACACTAGTTGGGAAGGAATCTGATATCTAATCCAAATTTAAACTAGATTTAGAAAATAAATTAATAGTTAATGCAACTCAACCCAAGACTTTGGGGCTGCTGCAAAGAGCGGTTTCCTGCTCCTCCCATGAGCCCCTTGGTAGAGAAGGTTCACTGTAATGTTATTGGCTCTTGGATAAAGAAGAAATTCCTCAGGATCAAAATTCTTTTTCAGGTGTCAACTCAAAAGCTTAATAGCACCTGACATCTCTAATGCCTGTTACAGAAGCTGATGAAAATGACCCAAAACAAACTCCTTTTAAAACAATGCATTACTCGTTTGCCAGAGGAGAATGAAGCATGCAAATGAGCAGCTGTGAAAGTTCCAGCTCTACCAGTGTCATGATATTACAGCCTGAGTTTCAACCACAAAATGTGTCTCAGATAGGGCAGCACAGATTTTACAAAGCTAACTTCAATTTTCCCAGTGCAAAAGCAATGAAATCTAGCTTAGTTTTATGCACGATGTGCTGATTTGATGCCATCTATAGTGTCAGCTGTAGGGAAATGGTGACTTTACTTGTCCAAGAAACAATCTGTCCAGGTGTTTACAGACAAAACTATTGCAACTGAGCTACCTCAAAAATCAGAAGTGAAAGTAACCATTTTTTTCTAGCAGAAATTTATAGTAGGGGTTATCTTATCTTGTCTGCTAAAATGTGTTTGCATGTGTACTTTAAAATCCTTGGCTCTTACTATTAAAACATGATTGGGGAACATGATATTTTACAGAAAATATTTTCTCTCAAAAAATAGGGTAAAGTTACCAAGGAAATTTTTAAAAACATACAGCTAAAATAACATTAGGTGTTTCAAGCCCATTTAGTAGAGAGGTCGTAAAAATAATCCTGAAGTAACGTAAGAAATGTCTGCATAATTTGGATGCAATTCTATTTGTTTTCACATTGTTCTTCAACTTAATGGCAACAGGCATTACTGAAGAAAGTAAGTTATTAACTACAGCAGTTATGATTCCATTTTTGTAACAAGAAAATAAAAATTAACTCTTGGATGTGCATAAAGATGTGAACCTGCTCACAATTTGATCACTCCACAATATCATTATACTGTACAGAGTTAGAAAAAGCCAAACCAGCGCAGCTTATCAGACAGAAGTTCCAGAAATAATACAAGCCTACATGTTAGAAAAATACAATAACAGGAGAAAAAGCAGCTTATTTCTGTCAGTGCATGCTAAAATTAACTTTACCTAGCAGGTTTAGAAACCATTCTCAAATTTAATATAAATGGACAAAAGAGGAAAAGGAGGAAAAGTAATTTCTCAAGCAAGATGACAGCAGAATTTCTTAGCAATTGTAGCAAATTCTTTTTAAAGGATATAGCTGAAAATCTGGAACTCTGACAGAGCTGAGTAATTTTCTTTGTACATCTTCCAGTTTGTTTTACTCGATGCTAAATCACCACAAATGCATTATAGCACAGTCTGAATTCAGGGGGAGTTTTGTTAAATTACAAAACCACACCAGATTTGAACCTCAGCTGCTGCTTAAATAAAATACTCTGTAGTTTATTAGTTTTAGATCTAGGGGAAGGACACCAAAGGGTGGATGGTTTAGAGACTGCTAAGAAGTTCTAAGAACTTCTTCTAAAAACAGAAACTGTCACCACTCTTAATATTAAGTGCCAGCAAACACACAGGCTATTTCTAATAAAAACTTCTAATTATGACCCTCTCCTACAACAGTTCTTAGTAGATGCTCTGTCTAAGAGCTGCTTCTCCTATGAAGAAAATAAAGGATGGGGAGAGGGGAAAAGAAGCCTGCTGACAACTTTTAGTATCATTTTCATTGCTGAATTTCAAAATATTTTGATGTTCTTAGTATGTGTGACATTTCTTTCATATAATATATGCTTTTTGCTCTTAATAAGTGTGCTTATGAAACTCTTTTCAAAAATACAGTCTGCTAGGTGGCCAAAAATCAATGAAGTCTCTAAAAGACACAGAACTGTTTTGCTTGCACACTGTGCACAGATGATTTAGTGATGGTCTACTGCATTAGTCCATTTGTTACTGTGAACATTACTGAACAGCTTCAAAACAGCTTAATTTGTGAAATTTCCTTCTTACCATGAACACTTCCCAGCATAATATCACCAGATTCTGAAGAGAGAGATGCTGATTCTGCATAGAGATATTTAGTTTTCAGCAGCCCATCTTCAGTAGATATATTGATGGTTGTCCCCTGCAGCTTCTCTATATTTACACTCTAGGAGAAATAAACATAATCAAAAATTTGTCAACACAGCTTGAAAAAGCAGTGGGAAGTAACACTGTTAACACACAAAACAAATGGAAAGCAATTGTTGTGCAGGACAAATGGAATCAGTTCTTAGTTAAAAGCTACACAAGACAAAACAAAAAACCTTTTCATCCAAGAGCTCTGACTTAAGAGCTAATGATTCCTCACAACATTCCTATGAGTTACTACATCCACAGTTCGTGAAGAACCCAAGTAGACAAACAGATGAAAGAAAGCTTAATTAAATATTCAAAAATTAAGCACTTCATTTTGAAAAGCAAAATGAAGGATTAACTTTAATTATGAAGACTGAATCTTCATACAGCATTATGACACTTGGAGCATTGGTGATCAATTTTCTGCCACCACAAATTGAAACATCCTCTGTTACATACAGCTATTTATGAAGATTTTTAACTGGCTTAATTTGTAGATATATCTTTGGTGAAGGTTTGCAAAAAAGCCCCACCCAGCTGCTCTTTTTCTCAGCATAATTTTCCTATTACCTTGGTTACTCAGATTTCTATTCTTGGACTTAAGCCTCAAGATATACAAAGCCATGAAAAACCAGGGATAAGATCTCCATTTCTACTTCTTTTCCATAGAAACAGAAAGGATAGCATATGAAAAGTTGTACTATGGATTTGGGAAATAAAAGGTGACAGATGAGATTATGTATGTAAAAGTGATGAGCCACATGATATAATGTCAATGTATTTGAACACAATAGAACAATTCACATGCTTGTGCAACAACCATATGAAACTGAATTCTGTTCTGTTCAGTTAAATTTAGTTTATGATGGAAGAATGCAATAGTTCATACCTGAACCCCCACTCAATTTGTTTTTATTTTGCTTATGCAGACTTTCAGTGAATTGCACACAATCCTTATTCATTACATGAAACAATACATGGCTTTCTGGATCAAAGCGTGCCTGTCTCAAATTATTTTTAAATCCTCCTAGTCATTTTAGCATTGCCATCTTGTGCAAAAAAAGTTGATATATCAAGTCAAAAAATAAGTCTGTCAACCCTTCCAGTCTAATATTATATAAAGAATAAGCTAAGGATGAAGCAAAAGATATTCTGACAAATAACTACTAGTGTTGCACAAACTCAGTGCTGCATTGTATCCCAAAAAGTGAGCTGAAGAGGCTGCTTTAGTATGGACTATGTGGCAGCCAAACTATACTGTGGCCTTAGCCATCCATTCATACTGAACTACTAAATTACAAGATTACAGAAAGGACTACTGGCTTAAGACTTTTCCCATGATGCTACAATACTGACTAGATCTCCAAGAATTTAGCAAGATACATTAAACTTTAAGAAAATCAAAATGCTATGCATAACCTACGGTAGAACTGGAAATATGTGACAGCCCATGCCTACAATCACTGCAGGTGCTGCTGCTTAGAACCGTGCTACAGATGGAAACAAAATCTAGAAACAAAGGCACAGATTGTCACTACTGAACAGAAGGTTTTAATCTTCTACTGCTTGCCACAAAACCCTAATAACCAGAGATCTTAAACACTAATTTACATTGCATCTGTCCTAGGGATGCCTCCCCCAAAGTGCCTGCCCACCCTGCATGGCCAAGAGCAAACCTGCTGTGACACGTGGCCACAGCAGCAGGCACAGGGAAAGGCACTCTCTCTCATTTTAGATCATCTCTCCATGATCTGAGCTGCTCTAAGAGTTCAATGACTTGCAAAGAACATTCCCCATCTGAGCAGGGCCATCACTGATATCAGCACAAGGAAAATAGTGCAAAGCACACTTGAAAGGGGAGGAATAAAATAAAAATGTCTGCATAATTTGGATACAAACTGGCTGCCTTGTGGCATTCCTAACCAGGAAAAGGGAAGTTCAAAAGGCTACATCTCTTCCTATAGAATGCAAGTTTTAACTCTGTTTACAATAAAGCACTTAATTTTTAAATAAAGTAATATATCTAAATAATCTCATCTACAAATCCATTTACCAGCCTCAACTACCCTTCTTAAAACTGCACAGTAATAAAGAGTTGTCTCAGCTCCAGATCAAAAGAAGTTACTATAAACAATAAAAGAAAAACTATCAATATAAAGAACATTTGTTTCAGAACAACTCAAATCAGGGTAGGGGCATGGAGGAAGGGGAAGTCAGACTGCTCAAGTATAAGAATAAAAAAGTATTTTAGATGGGGAAAGCATGGAGAAATGGGATTGCTTTTCAATGAAAATAAATGTTTTCAATCCCAAATTCTTTAATTCTTGTGCATTTTTGGCAAAACATAGATGTCTGGCTCAACAAAGTAAGTGTTATAGAAAAGTCTCCATGGCACAGATTAGCTAATAACTCCCCAGCCAAACAAATTTCATTATTTTTGTCCATTGAACCACCAGATCTTCTGGAAAAAATTCCTTCCTTTGGGCATAGAGCCTTGGGGGTTGCAGTTCCTGAAACTGACCACATACTCAATTTCCACTGGCTTCATCTGCATAAGTCAGACTGAGAAGGTTTTACACCTGAACACATTTTCAAGATAAAAACTAACATCTTGCCATGTTTAAATAAGACATATACATTTTCTTCTCCACATATTCCTGCTCTTGGCCTTCCTTTTTGTGCTGTCATTGTTCAAATGCTTTACTGGTGTCTTCTCCCACTTCCCTCCTTAAAAAATATTCTTCATTTCTCAAGTGCTTAGTGCCTTTTACCACATCCTCTCCCTCCCCACCTCCAGGATGGGGCTGGAAATGCTGACAGAGCCATAATTACATAATAATGACTGCAACTGATGGAAGAAACATCTCATACACACAGAGGAGGCATAAGGCTGACTGATTATTAACAGAGGTGGCCAGTTGAGAAAAGAAATCTGTCCTTCCTAACCACACTACTAAGTTTGTTAGTGAGAAGTCCAGTAGCATAAGCCAAAATATTGTTCTGTAGATGTGAATTCGTGCTAAAATGACTCACTTCACTCAAGTTACTACAGCTTTACAACTCTAAGATTGACTTCTTGTAATATTACATACTACATACAAATATTTATGATCACAAAGAAGCACTTCAACTTAATCTATATGACATTTGTTTTATTGTTTCAGAACGATGAACTTTCTGAAAAGAGCTAATTTTTTAAAAAGTATTTAAAGGCTCAAAGTAAAACAGTTTTCTGAGCTATATTTTCCCATACAGATACAATTATTACATTACATTTATTACATAAAAGTCTAACACCCACTTCCAAAGAAACACAGATAAATTAATGCTGACAGTTTTTGGAAAATCCAGTGGGAAGTTGCTTAGTTTACAGCAGGACATTAAGAACAGCTGGCTCTAGGTAAGTGAGCTGATCTGGGAACCCAACCCACAATACGTACAGCAGTGCCAAACGACACTTCACAGAGGTGACTTTGGATGCCTGGAATTTACTAGTTTGGTCTCAGATCTATCCATGGCAAGGGAGAGTTACCCCCACTCTGATTCTTCCCAGGGCTGCTGGTTTAAAGGGTGCCTATGGATTCTGACAGAGCACACATCCAAGCTACTCCCAGCCTCAGCCTGGCTCCACATGCTCACACAGCTATTGTTTCAGAACGATGAACTTTCTGAAAAGAGCTAATTTTTTAAAAAGCATTTAAAGGCTCAAAGTAAAACAATTTTCTGAGCTCTATTTTCCCATACAGATACAATTATCACATTACATTTATGACATAGAAGTCTAACACCCACTTCCAAAGAAACACAGATAAATTAATGCTGACAGTTTTTGGAAAATCCAGTGGGAAGTTGCTTAGTTTACAGCAGGACATTAAGAACAGCTGGCTCTAGGTAAGTGAGCTGATCTGGGAACCCAACCCACAACGTGTACAGCAGTGCCAAACAGCACTTCACAGAGGTGACTTTGGATGCCTGGAATTTACTAGTTTGGTCTCAGATCTATCCATGGCAAGGGAGAGTTACCCCCACTCTGATTCTTCCCAGGGCTGCTGGTTTAAAGGGTGCCTATGGATTCTGACAGAGCACACATCCAAGCTACTCCCAGCCTCAGCCTGGCTCCACACAATACCTCAGATGCAATGAATCCTACTGCAACCACCTGCACGGACATTACAATACCTAAAACCAAGACTGGGTCTGAGAACTGCAGGGAGTTTAGCTCTACATTACTTTAAATAAAGGAGAATTGCCCACTTAAGTCAAGAAACAAAACCAGAGTACAGTAGTTTGTGGTTAGTCTCATACTGCCATCTACTGAAAAAAACCAAGCTAGTTCTCTACAAATCTGTTCCTCTGTGATTCTTCCCACTGCATCTCATAGCAAGATTACCTGTGATTGTATTTCCTCAGCTGCAAAGAAGTCTGTAAAACCTCCTACTCTTCCATTCTTACGTAACACTAGAAGTGTAAAGCATTTACAAATATCAAGCCACTACCCACTAAAACTCCTGAGCCTCCTGCAGAGTCCAAATGCCAGCATATTAGCCAAGGAGAAAGCTTAAGAACGTTGTGAGGGGTCTATAGAATTAAAGTAGGAACAACCTCTGTACTGATGGAATGATCACACACTCATTCCTGCTTTCTGTGGAGCCTGTTTATCAATCCAAATCAAGCACAGGACAATATAATTTAACAGACAAACTTAAGAAACAGCGAAATTACAATGAGGTTTATTTACATATTCTTCAGCACATTCTTTGAATTTTGTCTTTTACAACAAATGAGAAGAATAAGCCATTGAAGGGAAAGTTTTATTTCCTACTTACCCCCTTTTCTGTTGCACAAATATCTGTATTGCCATGAAGTGTTCCAAGACCAATTACTTTGCCACCATTTGTCCGTATATCTATTTTATGGCTCTGAAAAAAGTTCAAAAATCACACAGTTAGGATAACTGGTTTTCTAGTTATGGTTATCTTGTTTTTCAAGTTGTACCACATCAATCACTGGAAGCCTCAGTCCTGCAAGCAGAACCAGATTCTACAGTGTTTCACTGCACACAAATTCTAATTAAAATTGTTTTGCATAAGGCAAATCTCCAGTTTTTAACAAATCAGCCAGGTTTCAAGTAACACCTGCTCTATAGCACTTACACCTTCCAGCTGTTGCTGCATACAACCAACAAGAGAAAAAAAAAAGTACAGAAACACACATAAACCAATCTCAAAAAACTAAAAAAAACCCACCAGGTCTTGAGAACATAGCCATCTGTAAAAGAGAAAAAAAACTTTAAAAAATCATATTTAAATAAATAGATTGTTCTCTCCTTATACAGTAACATGATGAATTAAATGTTTCAATCTGCCATCACAGTTCCTTTGAGGCAGGTACGCTATGCTTGTTATCAGAATAATGGTTAAACAGCAGATCCTCCAAATATGTAACTTGAGGAGAATATGGGAACTTGCAAGATTGGAAAAACTAGTGTATAGGAAATGCTCACCAGTATGGCCACTTATAGTTCAGTAAAAATAAAAAAACCAAAACAACATAGACACTAATTCCCCCCATCCCAAATCATTAGAACATCTTCCTAAAAAAAACCAACCAGGCTTTCAGAGGTAGATATCTCTAGAGACCCCTAACAGACAGCAGGATTTGCTGAGAGAAGAACCCAGTTGCAATGGTCAAGCAGCTTTTTCACTAAGAGGAAATATTCCACCAGCTGAAAGAAAAAAGAACTAATTTTCCATAGGGCTTAAGGAAGAGGCATAAGGCTGTCAAGACCTTCACAGATGTCAGAGGAAAACCAGAAAAATTTATTCAGAAGAAGAGAAGGACACTGGTGCAGGATGAATGAGGCTCAGACATGGTGTGTGCTGAGGAAGCAGAGCAGGTCTTCTGCCCGTGTGAGCAAGACGCCTGGAAATTCTTGTTATCACCAGCACAGTCAAGGAGCCAGGAGTAACTGAGGAACATGGAACCATAATTAAAGGGTCTCCCTGGTGGCACTGTCATCATAAGAAACACACAAAAAAAACCCCAAAAAACAAACTGCTTTCTCAATCAAGAATTTGTGAATAATTCATACTCTGAAGAAGACCAAAACGCCAAAACTGTGTTTCGGAATTACTGTTGCTATTAGTTGACCTAGAGACTTGGAAGGACTGGACTTCAGCCAATTAAAAAACAACCACACCTAAATAAAACAAAACAAGAAAATATCCAATAAAACCACCCTCAACAAATCTCACTGGCTGGGTAATGTCTATCACAGCAAAACTGCCCAACAAAATCCATTCATAAGCCTCATAGAGACTCCTCCTTTCTGTTCAATTACTAGTATGCATGATTAAGCAAAGTAGAGGTCAAATCCCTAAAGACACACTTTACACATTGTAAAGACACTATAGATTGCATATATTAAAAAAAGCTTTTTTTTTAAAATTACAATTTATATTAATAACTTCTTGAAAGTTATGAAAATTAGCACTTGTGAAGTTGTTTGCTGGTGCTCTTGAATAATCCCTACACGACCAGATTTTTTTCATTTAAAGTCATTTATCAACAATCTTCTCTCTCCTGGAAAGAAAGGCTCTCCTGCTTTGTTAGTTAGTGAGGTTTGTTAACAACAGCGAACCAACATTAAAACAGCTTGAATCCATCCAGGGGAGGGCACCATCACTTCAGTTTGCTCAGTAAAGCAAATTCCCAGAAAGGGAATCAGCTCTTATGCTTCACTACAGCATCTGGTTCACATTTTTAGCTGTTTTGAAAAAACTCTGAAGTCTAATCCTTCTTTTTCTCCCAAATAATTCTGTTTCTCTAATAATACAGAGTATAATTCCTGAAGCTTTATTAGAAAAAAATGAGTTCAGTCACCTTACTAGAACTACAGTACTTAAAAACAAGATTAGACTAAAATCCAGCTCTTAATTTTTAAAATTCAAGATATTTCACATCTTGGATTGTATTTGAGACCCAGATTCCCAGAAGGGAAGGTAGCAGTCTTTCCTCAAAACCATCTTTTTCCATGACACCACAAAAAATTCTTGATGTGCTGTCACGCCACGATTACTGTTATTATTACTGGCCAAAACCACTTTGTTTTCTCCTACTATGCAGTTTCTCATGCATTGTTGTTGCTGTTATTACATAGCATAATAATTTTTAATGAAAAGTTTAGATGGGCATCACATAGTACTATTAACTTGCTGGATTTCAGTTACCTCTATTATTGTAAAATGGTCAATTACAAAAAATCTGGAAGGTTCAAGCTGTCTATAGTTCCCCACCTGTAGAGCACATCTAGCTCTATTGTATATTACACCCCTCTATAAGCTCAGTTTTCCCTATGACTTACCACAATAGAGAAAAATGTTGAAAAAATTTCCATATCTCAAAAAATTTGGCCCTTCTTTTAAACTTATACCAATTCCTGCAGGTTCAATCCCAAACAATCAAGGGAATTTGATTCCAAATAGCACCTAAGTCAGATAAACTGTGATTAATTTTACAACAGCTTATGTCAGCAAACTTGAAGCATTAAGACTGAAAAAACAACCTCATGCCTATGATACATGCAGTATATACCAGATATATTTCAGTCAGGTATTTTGGACATGTAACTTCTGATTGAAAATTAACTTACAGGGATTGTCAATAGCTCTGATATACCAATTATTAAAAAACAAAAAACCACACACATACAAAAAAAAATTCAGCAGCAAGCTGCAAAGTCTTGATTGAGCAGGCATTAACCTACTGGACAGGAAATCCCAGTCTATTTGTTTTTTTCTTTGAGGGGTAGGGAAGACAGATCAGGCTTACTGCTGTCACTGTTTCTGCTGGCTTTGGCTATCACAGGCACATGGACCTCTGACTCCTTGTTATTTACTGGTTTTGACTCTGTGCTGCAATTGTATGCAACCATTAAAGGTGAGGTGCTGTACACACAGCAATATGAGTGTTGCAATGAGAAAACCAGAGTACTTCTCACCTCCAGAGCTGGTATTTAAGTTTTGACACTACATCCCACTACACAATACCTTTTCAAACAGTGGAGGAGGGTTCTTTGTACCTTTATTGACTGCAAGACACTAGTCCCCTTCTCTGTTTCTATTTTGCAGTTATCACATTCTATTTTCTGAATCTTCACGCAGCCAGTCCCTGACGTTTTGATATCCAAATCTAGAATTAAAAGAGTTTTATTAGCAACAGAAAAAAAAAGTCAGATATCTTTAACATAGTATTTGATCATGTTACACAGTAATCATACATAGTAAGGAAAAAGAGCAGCTTCTTTGTTACTAAAAACCTGCTTGCTGTGTCTGGGCACGCACTGTGAACAGCGGGAGTAGTCACTGTCAGCTATGGACACCGAAAGTTTGGTAAGCCAGTGTTTGAGCCATCCAACTCCAAGAGAGAACATAAGGAAGAAGAATTTACTGTAACCTGTGGCAAGGAATCAGCAGGGTGTGAACCTTTAAGCGAAGTCTCATCTTTTTTCTTTTCTGACTCCACCTCCATCTCCTATCTACCCTAGGCACCAATTCCATTAGAAATTCTCCTTGCACCCTTGGGCACCCTGACACACAGGCTGGGGTAGAAGGTTGGCAGGTGTCTGAGGCCACGTGTAGAGTGATAAGGTTCAAGAGCACAAACAAGGTTCACACAGGCCTTGCTGCTCCCCCAGCCAGCAGCACAGCCCCGAACCGGGCACACAAGCGTTGGTGTGCGTCATTCTCCCCAGCCTTTGCAAAGCCTGGCATTCTCCTGGCATGAAGAAGCATGTTTGCCTCTAGCCTGAGTCACCTCACCTTGCTACTGTTCATAGACTCCCACAAAGAAAAATCACCACGTCCTGTAGAGAAGATGCAGGGGCAGCAAAACATTTTTCTGCTGCTTGTCTCACCCTTGGGTTCAAGGAATGGGAAGTAGTTTGAGAACATACAGTCTGAGGATTCTGTCTATAGCAATAATCATTTCTATATTGTATAAACAACCATCCTAGTGGCTGGCAAAAGGTAAAGGGAAAAAGTGGTTTTGTTCTTCTAAGGATAAAAGATAATAAAGAAGAAAAACAAAAATTGAACAGCAATCAGAAGTGTTTGCTGCAAGACACAAGGGAAGAACCAAGGTCTGACAGGATCAGATACAGAGCCCCGTTATTGCCTAAAGGAAAGGAGATTATTTGGTAAAGAAACCTTCCTTTAAGCAAATGTGGAAGTCTTTCCTTCACTGCCACTGCCTGCTAAGGTTATCTGAAAGATGGAAAGAATAATCAGAATGTGCAAAACAAGCTTTGCCCTGAGGAGATTCCCAAGTGAGACCTGTGACCCAGCAGAGCCTGAAGATCAATACTGTCACACTGCTGCCCAGGACAGCAGTGTCCTCCTGCCCTGCCTCCTGGAACCATGACAACAGCAAGCTTCAGACCATGAAGACGAGACTGAGAGCTCCAATTAACAACAAGTAGAAGTTTTGTCACCTGGCAAACTAGGAGAATCCAAGAGACAGAGCTAAAACACAACATCTTCGCAGCAAGCTTGCTCCTTAGGGCTGCAGTAAGTCAAGAGGTTAAATTTAGTGAAGGATATAGACCACATTCAAAGGTTAACAACTCCTTAAGAGAAAAGGCTATAAGAGATAAACTGGAAAGCAATGATGTTTTTGAACAAGCTGTCTTGCCCAGACTGCTCAATTCATCCACTGAACAACTGCATGGTGCTTGGGAAGGTCTGCAACCAAGACTTCTGCTATTCTGCTTTCTGAGAAGAGAGTCCTAAAAGCCAGTTTTCTTGTGCAAATCTTTGAATTCAATCAGCTTGAAACCCTCCTGCTCTTACAAGGGACAAGGCAAAGGTTTGAGAGTGCTCGGTTTAGTCAAGATACAAATTCACTAAGACTTTTACAAGAATAAGGTTAATAAAAAACCTTCTGATCCTGTAGAGCATATTATTGCCATCATTTGAAAAGGTGGGTTAGTAGTGTAATCCTAGCTATCAAAGATGGGTGCTAAAAGAGGACCCAGAAGTCTGGAAATTCATAAACAAGTCATTAAGAAACACCAGGGACTTCTGGAAATACACTTTGTGCCATGATCCTCTGCAGGGTCACACCACTTTGCCAGCCTTGACATAACAAAAATTAGTGGACAAGAAATTCAGCCCCTCTGTCTCTTTCCTTCTGAGTTCCCGAACCAACAATAAACAGCTCCATAAAGACGCAGACTGAAAGCTGGATGATATTGCCAAGGAAATTTTAACAAGGAGGAACAAGATACAATCTGTTTTGGTGCCAAAACTCCAAAAATAGCCAGTTTGATTCCTCCCTAGCAAAGACAAGGGCTGAAGCCAACTTTAGCCACATAAACCACAAAGAATGCATGAAGATCTTTGTGGTGTAAAACACTTGTATCAGAAATTAAGGTATTTAGGAAAACAGAAACACTTTGGTATCAGAATGCAGGCAGGATTATCCCAGGGTATTTAAGCACCTCCGTTATTAAAATGCCTTAAGATATAATACTTGAAATAGACTGGATAATTATTTCCTTCCAGATGACTCAGCAGCCCTAGACTACTAGAATTATCTCAAATTATGGTTATGCAAGCCCTCAGTACAGTTTACTTCTGCATACTCACACAGTCAATGTACAGTAATCAGAAATCAAAGGGCTGGTTTCAGGTTTAATTAACACATGGAAAAATAAATAAGCTTGATTAAACAGAAATTCCTTGACATCTGCCATTGATGAAGGATAGATGTATCAGAGAAGACTATGAGATCATGTATGGTATTGAAATCCTATACAGAGCTCAAAACCAGACACTAAGACAAACAGACGGTCTTTTGGTACTTGCCCTGCTAAGCTGCTTAGAGGTTGCCTTTGGTTTAAAAGGCATATTTAAGCTCAGCATCTTCCACACATGCTCTTCATTCAGGCTCTGAGGAGCTTTAGACAACTTGCAGCTTCCTGGATAAGCTCCAACCCAAATTGCGAAAGCTGTTATGAAATGCCTTAACTTCCACAGTGAAGAAAACAAGAACACTGAAAAGAGATGCACATCAGCCTCTCACCTTCCTGCAGCTAAGAGACTGATAGAGCTCAGGCAGAACCACCTGAGCAGAACAGAGCATCCAAGGAAAGGCAGAGAAAAGCCAAAGTGTTTGCAGAGCAACAACAGCTCCTTTCTGGTTTGAGATGTGCTTTTACAAGGGATAAGATCTTTTGTTTATGTAATGATATTTAATGGATAATTCTTTTCTAAATAAATAAACTGAGCAACTCAAGCACAAATACTCAGAAAATCAAAAAAACCCCAACAAACTAGAGCTGAAAGGACACTTAAAAGTAGAACTCAGTGCAAGCAAAAATTCTACTTCACTGAGTAAAAACTTAAAACACCCAAACCCCACAACCTTACATTTTTGCAAATATATCTCTAGATGCACCCAGATGACAGCACAAACAATACTAACACCATGCTAATCATGGGGTGACAAAGAGCCACTTGTGGAAGGACATTACAATCCACAGATTGTCCAGGGAACTTGACTTGTATGATCTTACCACAAACCCAAGAGGAACAGTTTAGAAACCTACAAAAAAAAAAAAAACAAACCTGTCTCAAGAAGAAAGCCCCTAATAGTGTCTGCAGTGCTGGATGACATTCAGAATACAGTAAGAATCTCCAAGACAGGACAACAGTGAAATGATTCCTTTCCATCAATCAGGATTCATTATCAAGACTATCAGAAAGATTCCTCACATTGAAACCCTTTATGAAGGCTGAAATTCCTCACATCTTAACACAATGACTTCTGCACCTTGAGAATGACCAGCTCTGGAGTGACTTGTAATAGTCACTCAGAGATCCTGGGAAACTGAAAGAGTAAAGGACGACAGTAACCAGACACACCTGAGAACTGAAGGGTAATAAATGAGACACTCTGTTTGTTTGAGTCTCAGCAATTATGGGATGCACTCCGACAATGTGCTACAGACAAGCCAAGGTAATCTTTGTGCTTGCCAAGCAAGGGAGGGGAAAAAAATAAAAAGAAGAGCTGTAAGATAGCAACTGAAAATTCTCAGGTAAGAGTCAAGACTACAAGACTTGGACAAGACAGCCCAGCTACAGTTCAATGACAGAGCCAATAAATAGAGAGGTAACAGCTGATCTGTTTAAGAGAACCAACTTGGATTTTCAAATGTCTTTAACAATACCCTTAGTTCCATATTGTCTTTCAGCTATAAGCTGTGCACCGCCTTCAGCAGTACAAGAAGCTGGAAATCAGCACAAATAGCAAGGTTGAAAACTTTAAACAATGACACCACATTATTCAGACTAGTTAAAAGCTTACTGAAAAATTTCAGGAAGACCTTGGAATACCACATACTCAAATGATGAAATAGCAGGAAATTAAATTGTGGGACTCCACCAAGAGTTTACCAGGAAGCTCTCATCCTGAAACTGTTTCCATGTGTAAAGGGACACTCAGCAGAGAGACCCACCGAGGGGTAGAGCTGTATCAGGCTCTGAAAATCCCGTCATGAAAACAGTTGACAGCTATGACAATACTTAGATGAAATATCATTTCCATTTCTTCTGTTCTTACTCTTCCCTGAGCATCTGTTTATGACCAGAGACAGTGCAGTGGCTGCTGGAGTCACGGCAGGAATCAGTACAGCCATTCTGACAGAGCAAAGCACACGGAGGGCAGGAAGGGCGAGATTATATGCACAAATATTCTGTATCTAGTTACAGAATACTTGTGCATATATTAGTTGCTAGGAAACAAAACAAACCCTAAGTTGTGATAAACATATTTAAGAAACACCCTTTCAGTTATAAGCAGTGTCTAAAAAAAATTAAATTATAGGGATGAGTAAGACTGGAAAATATGAGAATGATGTTATGTCAAACCCATAGAACTTCTCTATTTTGAATTATATACAGTTCAGGTCCTTCTAAAAAAAAAAAAAACAAAAACAAGAAAAAATCAAAACACATTGCAGAATTTTCCCTAAGACACACAGTGGGAAAAAAGTAAAGTAAGATAAAAGATGCAGAATGTCTTCATTGTATGTAACATCATATTCTACAAAAGTCATAGATTACATGTATGAAGAGTAAGTAGGGTGGGTTTATTCATAACTTCTCGTATCACGACTGCAGCAAGGCATTAAATAAAATAATGCAGCGGTCTACAATAACTTTAAAAAAACAACAGACCAGGTGCATTGTAGATCAAAAAGTTTTCCCAGTATGATGAAATATTCTGCACTGTATAGGAAACTGCCCAAATCCATAAAAAAAAAAAAAAAGGCACATTAGTGACTGAACATAGATCTCTGTGTTTGTACTCCCTAAACTCAGGGCCACTGTCAGAACTTCACTGTCAGTTCTGCAGAGATGCTTATTGGCTTCAGCCACTGCAGCTGCTCTCCCAAACAGTGTTCCATACAAGAAACCCTGCACAGACTATAGCCCTGTCTATAACAATACCCTTAGTTCCATATTGTCTTTCAGCTATAAGCTGTGCAAAAAAGATAACGTTTGTACTGGACAAGGGAGCCCTTCTCGGTGTTCCATCCGCACCGCTACTTTCCAGGCTCCGATGCTTCGGGGAGCCCAGCACAGCGAGCCCTGCCGGGGCTGCTGCAGGAGCCCAGCCCATCCCAGCCCAGCCCAGCGGGGATGCTGCCCGGGAGCCGAGTCCCCGAGCAGAGCTGCCAGGCACAAACGACAGCGAGCGCTCCAAGGGACACTCACCAGCTCGAGTTCTAGCACTGCTGGGAAAAGGGGCAGCAACAAATCTCGCATCCAAACACGCGGGAAGTGCAGGAGCACAGCAAACACAACGGGGCGTTCCGAACTAGCGAGGGCGCGACGCCGATTCCCAGCACCGGCTCCCGGCCCAGCCCAGCCCCGCGATCCGTGCGCCCCGCCCGCACTCACCGAACTTCACCGGCGTCCGGACTTCCACGGCGGTCTTGCTGTCCACGCCGTCCGCCACGATGGCCACCTGCCCCAGCGCCTCGTCGTGCTCCACCCGCACCGGCCCGCCCGCCGCTCGCACAGCCAGGGCCGCCCAGCGCGGGGGCAGCGCCCTCATTGCCGCTGGCAAAGCGAGAGCGCCCGGGAGCCGCGTCAGGAGCGCCCGGGAGCCGCGTCAGGAGCGCCCGGGACGGGACGAGGCCGCTCCTGGCGGGCGGCCGTGACCCCCGGCCGGTCACGTGGCGTGGCTGCACGCGGGGAGCGGCACCGGCACGGCCGGTAAACAGGCGCTGGCTCCGCCGCGGAGCCTCCTGGGATCCGTAGTCCTACAGCGCGCGGAAGGAACTACAGCCGTGCCCACGGGCCTATCGGAGAGCGGGGAGGGCGGGGCACTGCCGAGAGTCTGCTGCTATTGGGCGGTGGTCCTGGAAGCTGGAGCCAATCAGGAGCGCGGGCCGCTGAGGGCGGCGGGAGGCGGTGCGCGGGTCGCCATAGCGACGGGGACGCCGCTCGGCTGGGCCGGGCTCTGCGGCGGCCGGGAGGGAGTCCGGGGAACCGGGGCCGGGGCGGGGGCCGGGGCCAAGAGAGCCAAAACCGCGGCTCCGACGTCGAGGCGGGAAGTAAGTGAAGCGGCGCCGCCACAGCGTTGTTTGAGGAGTCCCTGAGGGCCGGGGGTGCAACCCCCGGGCGGGGCCGTGTGGCGCGTGAGGAGCCGAGGGCCCGCGGCGGCCTGGCTGCCCCTCGGGGCACTGCAGCGCCAGCCAGCCCGCGCGGGCTGCAATGGCCTCGCTCCGCCGGTGTAGAAGCAGTCTGGCAGATGAGCTGCAAAACCAGCTGTTTGTTGTTGGTTTTTTGAAGTGATAGCACAAAGCGCCAGAATCGCTCTCTGTCAGTAAGTTTTGGTCAATAGGTTCGGTGTTGTACTGCTTTTTCACAGTTCTGAAGCCAAGCAAATAAATATTTTTCCTGAGTTCTGCACAAATACACCATGAGACAATTGTTCTTACAGGGTTTACACACACGTAGGGAACCATTTAATTCTGTTTAAAAGACTCTTCTGGACTTTACAGCCCATGTTATCATCGTAAAACAATTTTAAAAAGTGAGGTGGGGCATGTGGGCAATAGATGATGTACAGTCAGGGGTTGAATTCTAGTAATGGTTGTTGTTTACTGCCAATAATGAGAGAGAAAAATGCACAGAAAGCTGCATTGTCTTAGCAAGATTGCAACACAAGCAATAATGAAATCTGGGCCTGTTACCTAATTCCTGTCTCCCTTTTGCATTCCATGTGTTTCTTTTTCATAAATAACCATGCAAGCATGATACTTAGTCATCAAATACTTTTCATCTCATTAGCCCTATTTCCATTTCTGTCACTGTCTGGCTTTAATTATTTATGAATCTGAAATGACATCTCAGTGTCCAAGAGGAAAGAAAATTGCCCTATTTTTTTGTTCTGTCAGTAATTTTCACTGTGGAAAGATTTAGGAAGATTCATATTCACCAATAAAGCCCATCAAGTTAAATTATTGCATTGGTTTACATTACTCAGTCTCAAAAGATCATTAGGCTAAACACAAAAAAGGGGTAGCCTGTTTTATGATAGTCTAGTATACAAAAATTGAATTCTAGAAAGTCAAAAAAGTGTAAAAAATGTCTTGGGACATGATGGAGGCTGGAAGTTTGTCTTCAGAAATAGTGGATTTTGGGAAAAAAATCTACAAAATTCTCACCCTTGAGACCAATACCAAATTTGGATGTCAGATTGTTTGTCAAAGGAAAGTTACAGATGTGCAACAAGTGTGTTGCAATGTGCTGGGACTCCACTAGATGACAGCCAGTTCAGCAAACAGCTCTGTGCTCCGACTGTTCCGAGGGAATCGGGGTCCTGGTGAGGTGGGGTCACTGCTGCCTCCCTTTCTCCCTGGGTCAGTGCTGCTGTTCCTGATCCTTCACTCCCACCTCCCCTGAAGCGACAGCGCTGCTTTCCCACAGCCCCCTTTTCCTCCAGGAACTTGGTATTTGCTGCTCCTCACGTAGGCAGAGGTTTGTCAGTACCCACAATCCGCTGTAAACTGTGCTCTGCATCACCTTTAGTGTTGTCAGGCTTTGCATAGTTGAGAAGTTAGTTCAAGAAACCATTCCAAGATGTTTAAGCCTCAGTTATTTCATTGTTGATCTTGGGTTTTCTCATTGCATACAGTCTAAGCATGCATGGTTAAAAATGCTGAACAAAACAGAGAAAAAGTAATTGCTAGGAGGAAGTTCTTTCTCCATACATATGAAACCTCACGTGTTTAATGTTTTACTTATGTCATGTATATTTTTTCCTATATTGATTCTGTTTCATTTTCATGCTTTTGTTTGGATCAGCTGTTGTAGCATGTAGCAGACTCCAACAGTGAAAGAATATTTATTTATTTACTTACTTACTTAGTTACTTGTTTCCCTCTTTCATTTTTGATTTGTTATTTGCAGGAAAAGAAAGCTATATCAAATTTATAATTGAAGATATAATTAGAACTCCGCTTTTGATAGCTGCATGATTTCTTAGTGAATTGCAATCCTTATTTGCCATTTTACTAGATATTGGTGTTGTATGCCAAAGAATATTCAGTATTTCATGCAAAAGATAAAAAAAAACCCTAGAATTCATAGAAGTTCTATAAAGTGATTTAAAATAGATTTTAAGCCAAAGCATTATCAGATGCACTTTTAGGCTAAGGGGAGAGAGAGATTTCAAGGAAAGAGGAATTAAATACAAAGTATTTACAGGAGAGGCTGTGGAAGGAATACATTTTTCTAACTTTTGTATTTGGAATTCATCACAGAATAATCACAAACTGCTGCACATACCCCCAGGGTATAAACTTAGTCTGCCTGGGCAGGATTAATTTTACCCATTTGCTAAAATTGTAATGAAGAAATAATGTGACTTCACTTGGGGAAATAGGGCCACCTTTATTTTTATTCTGTTTTTTTTTAGTGGTGCATTTCTGAACTGCTTCCTTGAATCTTCTTAGTTCTTAAGGTCTAGGGTTCAGTAGGTAGGCAAATTAGGTTTTGTTTGTTTCCTCCTCTGTACTTTAGCATTGCCAAGCACGAAATGGTTTGGATTTCAGGGATTTTCTTGTTTGTCTTTACCAGAAATTTTCTGAGGAAAGTTCCTCATGGAAACCATGTGAAATGAGAAATGACAAATCTTATCATTCAAATTCTCCTTGTCTTAGGCATATCTAATTTGAACTCCAGCAGACAAAGTCTGTGTGTGGCTCAGGGTGGTTCTTTCCCAAATAGCAGAGACTTGAAAACAGGGGAAAACAGCAGAACTCATGACAGAAATTGCTGAGCAGTTTAGGTAGAAATTGTTAGCAGTTTATGTTGTGCTCTCATTTCCCCAAAGTGTTGAGGTTGTACAGTCTAATCAAACAATCCATTCTGATTCACATGCCTTTGATAATGTCCTACTGTGCATGATGTAGTTTTAGATTCAAGTATTGTTTAATGTTGGTGTGGTTTTGTTCTTTAAAGACGTATCTATTCATACTGAAGCACGGGCTCCGCCCAGTTAACAGAAGGGGGTCTTAACTTTAGGGAAAAAGCATAAAAAAAAAAAAATTAGGGGGTGGAAAGAGGATCACTGTGTGATAGAATAAATCTATGGTGCTCCTGTTATTAATATTATCTGTAGGTCTCATCCTTTCTCTTTGAGGAGGACATGGTAGAACTGAAAAAGTTTTGGAGAAATATAAGGACAGTGGAAGGCAGAGAAGGGCTTCCATGCCCTTCATGATTTTAACTTTAGGGAAAAAGCATTAAAAAAAAAATTAGGGGGTGGAAAGAGGATCACTGTGTGATAGAATAAATCTATGGTGCTCCTGTTATTAATATTATCTGTAGGTCTCATCCCTTCTCTTTGAGGAGGACATGGTAGAACTGAAAAAGTTTTGGAGAAATATAAGGACAGTGGAAGGCAGAGAAGGGGTTCCATGCCCTTCATGATTCAGCAGGTGGATTGTCTGCTTCAGCCTAGAAAGAGGATTGTCAAATGATGATTCAACATTAGGAATAAACCTAGTGGCATAGAAAAGTTGTGATTATTCAATGATTCATCCAGTAAAAAAACTAGGTCACATCAAGAGCCAGATTCAAAAGCAACAAGAAGATCTGGTTACTCATGTCATGCTGAGGTAAAATGAAAATCTCCATTCCCCTGGATTTTACCAATACTGAAAGTTTTGAGTGAGTTCAAGGAGAAAGGGGGTGGGTTCATAGAAGCATCACCACACCATGACTGGTGGGTACTTCTCTCCCTCCCCAGGCATCCAGCTGTGGGCTGGAAGTGTGCAGCTAGCTGATTCACCCTCATACTTGACCTGCATCTCTGTATGCTCAGAATAAAGTTTTACTACTTTTTGCATCTGCCACTGAAAATAACGAATGCAGCTAAATGTCACCTACGTGAATTCTGCACTGATTTGTGCATGAACATTGCTGTTTGCTAGAGAGAGACAGAAGTAAAGATGCTGAAATCAGTTTGGGGAATCTGAGTTCAGACTTCTATTATTATTGCTGCCCTGAAGCTGTTTCACGAGACAATTCTCAGCCTGATTTGACCCAGGTTCCAAAACAACCTTGTAATTCCTGTCCTCTGCAATTCTGTGTCTTGGATCAAGGCTGTGATATCGTTTGCAGTTCTACAGTTTGAAAACATTCTTACTTGTGGGCTATTCTGTGTAGTTAGATATTATGACAACTTGCAGTTCTATTTCAGTTAGACAGTTTATTTAGCAGATATTGCAAAGACACAAATTTTCCACTTTGCTTTTAAGTTTATAGATCCAATTTTATATAAGCTGAATTATATATTTAGTAATGTAGTAGTTAAAGGAAGAATGCTAAACTTAATGTCTCATAAACCCACATATGTTTTGTTTATGTCTGCCCCCTCTTAAAACCACGTGGAGACAAGGGCTTGTCACACTAGCTGAGGCTGTCTAATGGATTTCTCTGTCTCAGATTTCTATAGCTGTTTCTTAACATAAAACTATAAGCTTTTCAGATTCAGCAGATTTTTTTTTTGTTCTCTCCCTGCCCAGCAAACTGGAGTCTTGGTGAGGACTCTTTTGTACTACTGTACTGGGAGGAGGTATTTTTTTGACTGATGTCAGCTATATGTTTCACATACAAGTACTGATGAATATGCCTAGACCCATGAAACTCTCACATT